TGGCCGTGCGGCGGAATGCCCGCGAAATGGTCGTGGGCACGCCTCAGATCCCCACAATCATAAATGCCTGTTGCTCGTTGACAAGAGCTTCACTTGCTTGGATCCTTTAGTGGTCACAGTCCTGTTCGAAGGCATATCGAACGGCACGGACCTATTGAACCAGATCGGAGTTTCGGAAGCGTTACCCATGTGTCCTGTCATGTAGCAATGCTGTCGATGAAGACCAATGACATAGCGCTGATAGTCCACCAGCTTGTTATCGAAATCTTTGGGCAGTTTTTCGCACATGAAGGTACGCCACCTCAGCGCAAAGCCCTTCCATTTTATAAATCGGCACACCCACAATGAAGAGCCCTTGAATTGTGCCCTCATGAGCCCAGAGTCGCGCGCTATTTCCATAGACCCGTAGCAACCTTGCACACAGCCACCGAACGAATTTGGCGAATAGCGTTTCCAGTTTGGGGTGCACTGCAGTCTGTCCACGAAACGAAAAAATTTTTGTTTGGTTGCTGCAGGTTTTTGTAGGGGGTCCGTCCTATGTACGGCTGACGCACAAGCTTATAGCTAATGCTGCAGCCCCATACAGTCGTACTGTGCACGATTAACGTCCGCTATATGCGTAGCTTGTCTCATTGAAACTACACGGGTTCAGGCGAATAAGATAACAGGCTAGGACAACACACTTTATTGCTATACGTTAGCCACAATGCATAAATGTCGCGAAGAGATACAACAGAAAACAAAGGTAGACGCTTACTCCTTGGCCGTTGTCATCCTCGGCTTGCAGGGGGTTGCGGGTTCGACCTCCTTCTCCCTAGGCCGGTGTCAGAGAGAGCGGGCGGTTTTCCTCTCCCTGACGAGGGTATATTCCTTCGCTGAGGGAGTGAAACCCGTTCTGTGTGCCGGGAAAGGGGGAATCGCGAGCGCTGGCCGCGGGGGCATTCCATCCCTTGCAGGAGGCTTTATTGACTCGTACCTAAGAGACCTAAGAGGGAAAGGGAGGCAGGGCGCAAGTACTACCCCACAATGTGATGTGTTGCTTTTGGCTCCTCCAGTATCGGATGCTTTTCTTCGATGCAGCGAATTCGCGTTGTGCGGCCAGGTTGCCATGCACTTCGGCATACTCAACTTTTTTTTCTTAAAGCCTATCATAAACTGCTATCGAGTACCACCACTTTTTGAAGAAAATAGAAAAAGAAAGCAGACTGATATAGATAACCAAAGCAAAATGGCATTGCTAGTACATTGTAGGCCTTGCCTAGCCTTTGCCAACGATGCCGCTGGGCAGTCCGGAAAAATTAATGCACGTGAAAACACACCTTTTTTTTTGTAGGTATTTTTCGCTGACGAAGAGGGTAACAGCCACAGTACAAGATTCCCGTTGCAATTCAGCCAATGCATTCTTTAGGAGGCATTGAAAAGGGCCGTCTATAGAAAAATATTTGAAGATCCGACGTGGCCGGTGCTACTTTATAGGTCAGCACTTGGGCCCAAAGAAGTCACCTATTTTGTTTTGCACGGCGTTCCGCTTGCCTGCGATCATGTCTGCCTCAATTTCAGTCGACCTGATTTTGCCGCAGTACACCGATGACAGTGTAATTCGTGCCCGCGTGAACTCCAAGCTCGTTGGCTGTGTAGGAGATGGCTCTTCGTTCTCGATGTCGGAGTCGTTAGAATTCTCCGTAACTTGAATTATTTCGTCATCGATCAAGTCCACACATAACTCTAGGTTTTTGTTAGCGTCAGTGAAGCCCTCGAAGGTTATCCCACCCGGAATCGACACGCCGTCAGCGCGCAGATTGTCAAAGGCAACATCCGCTGATGCCAGGTCGTCACACATGCTGTCCACTTGGGGTGAGACGGCTATCTCCGCGTCGAGTGTGAAGCCCGCAGGGCAAAAACAGTTCTGCGGAGTCTCTTGCGTAACCGCCCTTCCACGATTCCACTAACATGCCAAGGGCAGACCTGAAGTCAACAGCGTAGCTTTTTCGATTGTCGGAGCAGCGCACCATGTGGCTGAGCAGGCGTGATTTGTAATGATGCTTCAAGTTCCTAATTACGCCTTGGTCCATCGGCTGCAGGATTGCTGTGGTGTTTGGCGGCAGAAATTCTATCTGTATAGCCTTTAGATCTTTGATGTGGCAATGCCCAGCGCAGTTATCCACAAACAGCAGAACTCTTCGATTTTGCTGCTCGAACCTTCTGTCCAGCTTGCACACGTACTCTTTGAATAACTGCTGCGTTACCCACGCCTTCTTGCTAGCTTCATAGAGAACAGGCAGAGTCACTGCCCCCTTGAAACATCTTGGATGCTTCGACTTGCTTATTACTAGTAACAAAAGCTTCTCACTGCCTGACATGTTGCTGTCAACGAGGACAGTGAGCCGCTCCTTGCTGTGCTTGCCGCTGTGGCAAGGGTCACCAGCAAATGCAAGCGTTTTCTCTAGCAGCAGCTTGTAAAACAGTCCAGTTTCGTCGCAGTTTAAAATATCATTAGGTGGAAACTACTATCGTGATAAAGAGCCGCAGTTTCTGCTGAAGCAGAAACTGCGGCTCTTTATCACGATATTCAGCGACAACAGAATCGTCAACGGTGCCACTTTCCCCGCACATCTTTTTGAACTTCACGTCATTGCGGCTCTTGAAATTGCGAAGCCATCCATCGCTGAACTTGAAGTCCTTCATGCCCAGCTGAAGCGCAAAAACCTTCGCCTTCTGCTTCAGGATGTCGCCACACGACGAGTGCTTCCTCGAGCTTCAGGCTCGCATTCTTCTTTCCAGCCCCGGTTAATTTGGCCACTTCCAAGATCTTCACCTTGTTTATGATGAAATCCGAAGCAGTCTGCTTCGAAATACCCGACTCCCTCCCCACCTCTGCCTGCGACCTACAGCATTGGACCTGTTCAATGATGGCGACTTTCTTCTCCATCGTGAGCCTACGAGGGGGCTTTGTGCGCTTCGAAGGTGCGGACAAAGACGCTCCAAATGACGAATCACTGTAAATGACAAATACAGTCGACCAAAAGCGCAGCATGAAACAGCTAGGAACACTGTGGATGATGAAGGTCGGGAAAAGTGATCACTGAAGATAGCGCGCAGCAGTAAACTATCTACTGCAGACACGATCGCAGAGCTGACAAAACAACACGTGAACGAACACAATGAGGTTTGGCTTGGCTAAGCTGCTAAGCTACGGCTGGCAACGGATTGACATGTGCAGTTTCGAAGTTATGGCAACTGCGGCGCAGTGCCGCAGTTGGCGGCGGTGCTGCTGGCCATACCTGCGATGCGAGTATGACTGGTTCGAGGATATGAAAACAACTAAAATGACGGCGGTAGTGGTGACTTTGGGTCAGCATTGGGAAAAAGTCCGGGAAATTGGATGCCGAAGGCTATAGGCGTCCGGAATTTTGAACTTTTTAATACATTGACTTTATGGGGAACTTGAGGGTGCAACAGACGAATCCAAGAAATCGGGCATGTCGAATTTCGGGTGTCCGGGAAGTCGGAAGTCAACTCTATTCGAAGCCTTCAAATATTTGCATAAGTCTAGTGTCGGTAACAATTCCACAGTCCTTTTATCATGAAAGCTCACTTGAAAAGAGAAATTACTTGATGTACTAGAGGAGAACATAACATTTGTAGCTTGTGGGATAAGCTGGTGGGGTTACTAGTCATGAATTGGGTTGTTATAGTGAATGATAGTCACTTTAAACATGTGTGGTCTAACGAGCCATGCTGCTGTTTCGTAGACAGTGGTCATCATAGGCCTCATAGTAACAATAACAGACATTAACTACGAATTACACGACACAGTTTACTGTTTGAAATGGTAAACTCCACAGATTTAACCTCTCTCTCTTTTTTATTGGTAATAACTCAAAGCACGCAACACTTTTTTTCCATTATGAAATTGCTGATTGCATGCTACAGTAGAAGATCAACCTTCAGGGGTCCTAAATTTTTCACGTGCAATTAACATCCTTTGAGCTAACGTCACCAAATGCAAAGTTTCAGGCACAGATTTGTGTGTCTGAAATGCGGAGATAGAAAAATCAAAAGTTACAACAGGAATAACTCAAACAAATTGTTGCTCATGATAAACACCACTGCCGCATGATTGAGCTTTGCTGGGTTAAGGTGTCTGCAAGAAGTGTTACCTGATCTTTATTAACTTAATTTTCTATTTGCTATTTGCAGAATTTTATTGCGATAGCAATTATATTGACACTCTCGGCTGGATTTTGCCGTCGGCGTCCGGCGTCGATGTCATGCACCGTATATGTATATTTCTATATATATGAAAGCGCAAGAAAAAAAAAATCCAGAAAAAAACACTCCGGCACGCAGAATCGAACGTGGGACCTCTGCATCATGAAAGCGAGGCGTTAACCATTGAGCCACCTCGGAGCACATCCTTCACCGTTCAAACAGCAAGCTACTTATATTAGAGAAGGGTAGCGAGGCTCCCTCATGCACCCTCATCTCGCGGGGGCGAGGCGGGGAAGATTGTATGCCTTGGCTGGCCTCGGGCTTTACCTGGAACGATTCTGCTGTAGTTACCGGGTGCCCAAAAGCCACTGCAATCACTGCAGTCTCCGTTTGTGCGCTTTTTAGACAGATCATAGTAACAAATGAGACGCTTCTTCGACTGCATCCGTACTTGCGAGTACGTTTTGTGCGTCATTTGTGCGTGAGGAACGCGGGGCATGTCTCAATCTGCTTTCCATTCTGCGCGTGACCTTTCAATTTGTTGCTATCGCGTTCATTGTTTCGCCTTCCCGGCAAAGCTGTGACTTTCTTGTTTTTTTTCTCAGATATTCTATATTATCAGGATGTTTCACTACTTCAGCACTCATAACGACACTCCACCTCCACAGCGTGTGTACGTCACATTCACACAATTGCAATGCTGCTGCTGAACATGTCGACAAGGATCCAATGAAATACCCAAGAACAGCAAAAAGTTTGAAGCTTGCTAATCGAGGACGTCAGCTTACTTTTTTTGTTCTAAAATCCTCTGCACTCGCTTGGCCTCCGATTTCCGAGCACTCTCAGCCGCCTTTTCCTCGAGCTCTTTCTGTAAACAGAGCCCCATGAAAGTGCACGTAAGCCACATGTAAAATTTTACTAAATAAAAAAACAAAACAGCAATAAAGCAATTTTAAATGGTGCACCACGGACATGGCATTTCACTTTAATCATCAGAAGCTGTGTTGAGCGACTTCAGAACTGAGAGATAGACGCCTAGGTGCCGTTTCATGCAAAACTAGCCACCATGGTGCAAATCTCTATACTATACGTAATAACACATTCGCATACCACGATCTGGCAGCTACAGAAGTAGTGAAGCCATGAAAGTCTCACAGTACAGCTCATGTTTATCTCAAGAACTTGAAGTTTTTCGTGATGTAATTTGTGATACAGAGGGAATAAATGTTCATACAGCATCACAAATGAAAATTGCCACACAGAGTATTAATTGAATTGTGTTAATGAGTAACACACCCACAACACTTCCAGCATAATGACGTACCGCTTTGTTTATTTCAGAAGTGCTAGCATCACGTTGTCAGTGCTGGCCAAAGATATGCTTGTTCACTGTGCTCGTTCAATGACAACTAGGTTCAGACCAACAGACAACAACTACGCATAACTGCATGATGTGCACCCACGGCAGACTCTCATTAAACAGAACCTGAAGGGACTAGTAAAATAAATAGCGTTTAACAGGACTTCCAGTTTACTACTTGGTGAAGAGGGGTGCAGAATTCAAGCACAAAACCAATACACTCCAACCTCGACATAACGAATCCAGACATAACAACATAACAGTTATAACGAAGTTAATGAAAAATAGTCTTGCAATAGCGTCAGTGTTAGGAACAAACATTTATAACGAATTTTCGGATATAACAAACTTACTTTCATGTCAAATGCAACGTTGTTATAATGATGTTTGAGTGCAGTATTAGAGGTGGTTCCGTTAAGGCAGGGATTCTGTCTTAGGATATTTTGGTTTATTAGGAGCCTGTTGTACGTTTTTTGTTTTTTTCTTACATGTGATGCACTATTCTTGGTCACTAGTAAGTGCAGTGAGAAAGTTTTGGTAATCACTGCAGCACTGCCCACTGCATTTCCAATTACTGTGAAAGAAGAACTATTTCTTCCCTACTGCTGAAAACAAAAAATGTGTTCTAACAATGGCATGTCATTGGTACTTATTTTACAGAAAAAGCTGTAATAAGATCACAAGAAGGGTCGCGTGCACTGTAGTTGCCCGCTGCCGCCACTGTCCATAACCACTATCGCTTAAATTAGGAAAACGCCAGCTGAATAGAAATACCGAGGACAGAATGGGATTCAAACCCAGCTACCCTGCGTGCCAGTTCAGTATTCTACCACAAAGCCACACTGGCGCTTGAAATTCTGTTGCAAACCGGCCTGAGGCTGGTTTGGTGTCAGGCGTTGCACAATGGCAATCCCGTAACGAGTGGGTCTTCAAATACTCCAACCCATTACTGAAGCTTCAGCCATAATTCTTCATCGTTCTCAGTCACAGGCATCGATAACTTGCATAAAATTTCTTACAAGTGCATAGTAGGTACAACGCTTTTCCTAAGAATGATGAAAGATGGCATAGTTAAGGCCTCCCTACTACACAGAAATTATGATGATTTATGGCATAGTGGGCACCCGACAAGTGCGCTTGTAGCAGTTACCGAAAGAGTGTTTAAAAAAGGCAGTGAAATGCCGCTCTTCCAGCTTTCGCTGCGATTGAGCGCACGTTCCACACGGGCCTGGTGGTTTTTGGCTTCAACAAAGTGAAATGTCTTCCTTAGCACTCTTTTTCTCAGAATGCAATTTCCCAGACTCATTAAGATGTGCAAGCACATGGTTCACTAAGGCATTCACATATGCTGCTTAATTACCTTTTGAGATTGGACAACACTGATTCTGTAGACTATTTCGACCGAACAGGCACTGAGGATACCCACGTTCCGGTGCATGCTTCGCCACTGACATCACAGACTAATGGTTCAAAAGTCGTTGACAAATTTGTAAGACATCAGAATTTTGAGATGATGGCAAAGCAAGGAAAAACTCACCTTCCTTCTTTGAACCCTCCGGTCTCGCTTCCGGACAAACTGAACCAATTGCTGCATCATATTAAGAAAGAAAAAAAGTAATATATTTTACACACAGAAAATCGTTACAGTGATCGCAGGCTGAATATGGCTAAAAAAATTGTGGAATTCACTCACACTCACTCAAGAAATATACCTTGCGCTTTTGACGCACTTGGACTAGCACTCACCAAAATTTTCTTAAATCTGATTCACTAAGACTTGACTCGGCATAATCTGAGTCTGAGTGAGTCCGAGTGAGTTGACCCATGAGTGAGTTCACCGACCTATGCTCGTCGGGTCGGTAACAACTATGGATACATGAAATGAATTCAGATTCCAATGAATGTTGGTAAAAAAAAAAACTACCTCACTTGCATAATATTATGATTACTATTGCAACGAATAAAGGGCATGAAAGGTTTCTAACACAGACATAATACTGCTAAAACGTTAGCACCACATATCAATTATCATTTACTGAGAGTCTAGTGTATGTTACAAAGTAGAGCAGCTGGAGGCAGCAGTGAGACCACTTTTGTCAGAGAAATGCTACGACTCACTCTGACTTCCTCGTTGCGCTGCCTCCGGGCAGCATCTCGAAGCTTGCGGTTCTCCCGTTCCATGAGCCGTACCACTCGCCTGTTCGGCGCCGTCCGAATGTCGTACTGGTCGAGCCAGGCAAACGTCCGTGCCGTGCAATAGCTTTGCCAGTAACCGTAAAACGGACCAACAACCTGACAAGAATTCGAAGAAAGGACTTGGTCACAAACTTCTTGAAGTTCTCCAAATAAACGGGAACAGGGCAAAACTGAGGGGCGTCACTTTTGCTAGTCAAAATCTTTTCAAGAAAACAGACAATGAAACCAATGAATGCAAGGCAGAAACTAACAGTGATTCTTAATTGAAATGTAGACCAAACAGTATACAGTATAAAGAAAAGAAAAAAAATTGGCCCCGTATCTGCATGTTAATCTGCAAATGTCGCCGAAAGACGATAATCTTGCGTGTGGAGAGAGTGAACAAAACATTTATTTGATGTTCTGCGCAAGAAAATCGGTGAATGGTATTCTGGAGGTGCTGCAGTTAGAGTGCCTCGAGCGTGCAGCGGAGGCAAACGAGTGCATCAAGTCACGTCACACGTAAGACATGAGTGCTATCTAGCAGTTTTCTTGGAAAACGAAACGCGCGACTCTGAGACAAGCGAGCGCACCCGTCTCAGAGTTGATAAGGTGTAGAATGCAAGGCGATGGGTAGGTGCCACCACTGTGTCGTCTCAGCAAAGTGTTGGAAACACTCGCCTTTTCGTGCAAGCGTTACATGGCCAGCGCAATGTGATAAACGCTACGGACCTTAGAATTACTTATGTATGCCTTTTCTAGTAAAAGACACACATACAGAATATATACGTGTTCTTATGGTGCCTCAGACATGCGCAATAATTGCTTTTTTATTGACAATCACACAAGTATGAATGCTAAATCTTGAGCAACATTGGTGGGCGCTGCGGATGGGGTGGGCCGTTTGGCGTATAAACTGTTGCCATTCAAAGTACCCGGTACCGTTGAGCGTGGACAAATAGACAAATGTACACACAGACAGACAAACAGACCAAAATTTTTGCGTCGAGGGTCCCCAAGAAAGACTATCGTCCTTAAAAGACAATCTGTCATTGATGGCAGTTAGACAGATATCTATTGCATTACATATGTGGCACCGTGCTAATTGAGCCTATGATGGCATGCCTTTTTCCCGTACACAATGCTCAATACTTGCGCATGTGTGTACTAAATCAGGCCTTGAAAATGTAATCCAGAGTCACGGATGGCAATGGCTTAAATAAATTATTGGTTGCCAATACACACTAGCAGATTTGTTTCACGCAGCTTGTACAACTGCAAACAGTAGTATAACATATATGCAATCCCTTTTCTATGTTAGCATGGATGTTTAAAAGATAGAATTGATGATCTCCAGGACGATTTCACGATTTGTAAAAGCGCTGGTCTGAAATCTGGTAAACATAACTAACAATTGAAGTTACCAACATTCTAGTCACATGGATAAGTTCAGCTGACATGTAACTTGATACGCGAAACTTCTCATCTGCTGAACGGGTCGAGTGACCGGAAGTAAGAGTGGCAGCATCACAAGATAAGCATAAGCAAGCCATAAGTACTTTATCCTCTTATTCCAAGACATTCCTTTCCTCAACACTTCACCTTGACATGAAATGAAGTTGATACCATGCTTGCCCATTGACAAAAGTCTTTAATGCAATTTCCCTGTGCATTCCTTCAATTCTTTAAAACTGTAGCTTCAAGAGGTACTGACACAACGTTTTGGCCTCTCATTTTTTGCTGCAATGTGTTGCTGGGGCATGTTTGTCATAACCTGGCACATTGTTTGTTGCAGCACGTGACAAATAATTAGTTACAGGCTCCTCATTACTGACCAGTTTCAGTTTCGGTTTGAAGGAGCTCCAAAAAACAAGCCGCCAGGTGCAACTATCACCCCCTCGCATGTACAGCGCTCTACCACGTCAGCACACAGAACTGCGATGCACTTCTGTACGATACGCATCAAGAGGTTCTTTCGAGCAGGAAATGGCACAGCAGTGACGCAAAACACAGTTTTCTACGCCTGTGCCCCAGCCATGGACTTGTGGCCAGCCGCTGAGAAGTATAGACTGCTGCAACAAACGCGGAAAACGAAAAATGGCGGCTATGATTTGATCATAACTTGTTTTATTGACTGAAACGTGGTGAAGTGAGGGAAGTAAGGTGGTTACCATGGGGTTACCGTTGATGACGTCAATACCTTCGCAGTTAGAACTTCAACATTTATGTAAAATGCCGTTCTAGCTATATTTACTGTTGGTATTTTGAAGATGGTATATGCATGTTTATGGAATTGATACCGTGAGTTATCTTGAGAGCAACATTGTCCCCCCTATTCCTTTACTCTTCAGTCAAAAGGCACTGCCATGTTCAACTCAGTGAAGTGAACGAAGAAATTCGAGTCAGGAAATATTTGAGAGTTGAGGTGTAATGTGCAGGGAGTGAAGGCGAAGACGTACCTCATCGTACGGGCTGGTGCTGTTCCCGAAACCCGGCACCACCACAGGGTCATCGTGGTAGGGTTCGTCTTCCGCAGCGATTCTTTGAAAGACATCCCGAAACACTGCGTAAAAACCCTGGCACGAAAAAGAACAACAAAACACCACAAATTAACAACGCAGACTCAATGACAAAGGTGCCCGTGCAGCACACAAAGAAAATATTGTACGTAACAAATTTTACTATGATGCAGAGCAGAAAGATGTAGTAAACTTCACCTCTGAGCACGTCTTCACAACAGAGACATTACTATACCCATGTCATTTTGAAGAGTTGGGAATCCTATTCGGTGCATGAATATGAGCTTTTGGAGGAAGTTTGAAAAGGAAACTTCACATTATATTGTATGAAGTTCTTGCAACGAAAAGGCCATGTGAAGGCGATAATCAAGCAAGGGTTCCTTCGACGTAAATAAGTCTGCACTTGCACATAAAACATAATTGCATCAGGGAACGTGACTAATTTGATTTCATTTAAGAGGTCTATAAGTGTAATGAAAAGATTTTAAGCACAAATCATCACTCTTCGGAATCCCTTTTACAATTTCCTGTGCTGCCCTTTGATTTTTCCGTAGGAGCCGGGACAACCAGTAGAGCCACAACGAAAGCCTCCGAGATGAAAAGATCTTTTACAACTTTTCCAAGGAAGGAAAAGCGCATGCACCATGGCATATAATGCAAGGCAGATTGCTCTATATGTGTAAATAAGAAGCCAGGTATATCTGAATTTTGCAGCTAAGCACAAAGAGTCTCTCAAGATTCGAATTTGAAGCAAGACCTGAAGTTGTTGTGCATTTTTTTTTTGATAACCTTCCACCTTAACACTGCAACATTTGCTGGAGATATTCTGCAGTAATCGCTTCCAAAACACAATTTATTAAAAAATAAATTTGTCATCAACTAACAATCAGGTTTTGCAACCGTCTATACATTACTATCTATAGTCTCACCTAATATGAGTTGCAACAAGCTTTCCGTGCTATTAGTGGCACCAGTGCTGCATAATGGCAGAGCATATCAAAAATTAGTTATGTAAACACTATTTCATTAGTGTGTATTATCTAACTCAATTTAATGTTTGCCAGTGCCACCGTTCAGGCTTTGGGCCCCTTCAATGAAGGCCAGCATGCTGCAACTCACACTCAGTGCGACTGTACATTTCTATGAATGCTCATGACCGGCCGAGTTGTTGGCACTGGACGAAGCTAATAAACGTCGCACACATTTCAATAGATGTAGCACTTCCAGAGAGCACGTAAGTTCGCAAACTTTCTCACAATCGCTCATAAACAGCCCCAACTCTTTATGCCAGTCATTACACTTTCTATAGTTAGCCACAAAATATCACAGGACACATGATAAGTGCAATGCCTGACGTGAATCAGAGGCCGATAGCCTCAAATTCGCAGGTTTCACACAACAGTAGCTTTTGCAAACTACACGGTTGCCTCTTAGATTAAACGTGCTATGCCTCAACATGAAAAGAAGGAAAACAATAGAGACAGGAAAGGCAATGATGTCAACGAGTTTGGCATAGTTGTTACACTACCCTGCACAAGGAAGAGGGATAGTGAGATTGAAAGAAGAGCAAAGAAATGAAGAAAGAGGAAGCACACATACACACGTATAACATCACAGAACAGAGCAGCAGCCTTGTATGGTAAACGGCATCACCATGAGACTACAGTCGTACAGGTTTGTTGTCCTTAACAATTTTAGCGATGCCCTGGCTGCTTGAATGCTCAAAGACATCTCAGAATTACACTAAAGAAGAGTTTCTTGCGACATCAACAGAGTTGGAATTAACATTTGCCATGTTCATGAGCTTTTGTCAATGACTGCACGATCGACTTCAGCACGCACAGGCCAATGACTTCAGAAATGCCTTTCAAGCCCACACAATGAAGGCAGTGTAAGGAAAACCCAGAAAAAACATTCAGCCACCTTCTCGTCATCCCCGTAACCACTGAAACAGGAGGAGTTGAAGTAGCAGTAAACGTCCAGCCTGTCATCCTTGTAGTCACTGCCAAGACCTGCAACCAATGTTGCATCAAATTACAAAAGAGATGCAAAATTTCTAAGGCACACATACATACACACGCAAGGTTACAGAAATTGATTCCAGCTTCGCAATAGTAAAAAAGAAATAAATGAGTGCTCCTTTGCCAAAGGGGCAGCACTTGAAAAGTTTGTCGCCTAAGCAAAGAAGGCTTACATTGGTAAAGAAAAATCAACTCGTGAATCTTTCTCGCCAAGAACAAATGATATAAACAAGATGTAAGGAGATGAATGCAACACTAATTTGTAGTTCCATTTTTGCGCTGTTCTTTTACACAATCGCCCACCAATCCAACTCTGTTTAATTGATCTTAGGTACCTTTGTAGCTTAGCATAAACGCAACACTTAATTTAGTGCAACGCAAGCCCGATCCACATGTGGTCACTCTAGCTGGAATCGCAGCTGTGCGTCCAAGTCTCAACAGATGAACATATTTGACAGAGACCCACCTGGATGGGTAAAAATTTGTTAAAAAGATTATTTTATTCGCACAGATTCTCAACAGCCACACCTCGATAACTATTATGCCAAAGTCTCACACCTATTTCATAACTGCAGATAGCATAGACCCATTTTGAATGCTCCACCCAATGGTGTAGCTCCAGATAGTGCGAATGAATTTGGAATTCCCTGCCGGACGGTGCAACTCAAGACAGTGCATAAATGAACATGGTATGCCCAACCCAATAGAGCAATGCCCAATAGTGTAAATAAGATCGATACTCTCTCAAATGAGTTGCCCCTTCTTTTTAGTTTTTTTTTGCATAGATATAGAGCTGCACAAATAGACAAGAAAAAAGGAAGAGAATGTGCTCACCTCCTTTGAGTATAGCGTCGCGGTGCTTGTCGTACCAGGCCCGTTCCTGGGGATCACTCAAAACGTCGTACGCCTGCTGGATAAGCTTGAACTGCTCGGTCGCCTCTTGAAGATTGTCTGGGTTTTTGTCTGAAAGAGAAAGCCCATGAATTGTACTGCAGTGTTACTATCGAGACGAAAAGCAACTGGTGCTTCTAGTGCTACGCAGACGGACTATGAAAAGCCGGCCTCTATAGAGGCCTCCTCTTCATTGCCAAGAGTACAGTACTCACGAATTGAAATGTGACAGTGAAAGCACTGGGCCCTTCGCACAAGTAGCATTACCCGCGAGTGCCCATGGAAGCCATCTGTTACTTTGTGCTCTAGCGCGAAGACGACAGTGTTCCTCACCCATCTACTGCTTACAGTTGTAAATGTGCTGTTCTTTACTTCACATAGCTCCAGCAGTCTGCTGCAAATGACAGTGCACACAGCTGAGTCACTTTGATCAGCACATGAAAATGTGCCCAGATAGTAGTGCCCCGATCGCCCTACAGTGAACCACAGGACAGCCTTCTAGTGACCAAAAGCTGTAATCACACATAGAATGATTTCGTCCTAATGATATGCAATAATACAAAGACTTGCTTTCAACCGTACCTAAAGGCAACGATTATTGTACCAGCAACCACGAGATCCAACTATTGCACTTCAATTTACGAGTGCTGCAAATTGCAGCATGCTCAGCTAATGCTCAGCTAGTAGGTATATTAACATGTTTAGTAGTAGCGCAAAAAGACAATGTAGGGAAGCACGACGTGACGGCGACTGAATGAGGCCGTGCCGCTGTCGCTTCTTTGTTGATACGCAGGCGAAGAGAGAAACCAAAGCGGTTGCAGCTGACGCGTCTAGCAGAGCGAAGAATCTGAGCGTTCCAATCTCCTCGTGGCCCGCGCATCACAAGTCACGCAGCTCTCTTCTTTTTGCCATGCCTGCCATGGCGCTACAACATGAAGATAGAGAAACAGAATGCACATCGTGCTTGTGCTATGACTTCTGTTTATTTCTTTCAGCCTATTTGAAGTGCACTAAATATGCTATAAATATGGTATTTAGCTGCTCTCCAGATTTGAATACCAGGCTTGCTCTTTACTAGCACTAAATAAACATGCCGGTAATATAATTGGCAACATTGTGAACAGGTCTTGAGCAAACTCAAAGGATCTGTCACTACCCCAAGACAACAAATGCACCTATACTGAGCACAAGCTCAGTTTGATCACCTGAGTTTGAATGCGCAGGGAATATTCATTCTGTCATGCACCTTAATATGTTTCTCTCCTCTCTATAACAGTACCGATTCGAAGGAAAATTTACAGCTGTTAGTCAATGCCCATACATGCGCAATTTTCTCATTCTTTCCATGCAAGTTTCACGCAGCTACGCCGATCAATCAATTAATAGCTGGTATAGCTATTGATTGTATAGCTAAAGTGATAGAAATGAGAAATCGACAATACACAATCTCACCTTGCCCTAGCAATCATAGTAACGCATTTTCGCCAGGATCGTAGCCGTGCTCGCACTCAGACTCACCAGTTCTATGCTGCTATGCATGCACCGATCCGGGAAACAGCGCGGTTTGTTCGCCCGGCTGTGTTGGCACGGCAAACTGAAGACAGCCAGTTTTACGCGTGTACAATTTAAAAAAATAACAATAATCATAGTCAAACGCTTAAGGATCACACACGCGTCTGAGCACGTGCCAGGAGAAAGTCGAAAACGCGGCAAAATAGTTGAAATAGCAGACAAACGCCATAACCTTGCCGAAAAGCGAAACTATAATCCGCGCGCACGCAGGCGAATTTACGTGCAGTGTGCGATATGATTTACTGCTTCAAAACGTGCCAGTAGGCGTTCCCCTTACGTTCTCTGCACTTCGTGCACATATTTGGGATGCTTGTGGCAAGGTATCGTCGACATGCGACGTTGACCTAGAAAAAAGAAAGCGCGCGAACACACTGTGAGAGAGTTCGCGTCTAATAGTTTCGCTTTAGGCATGACTCGTCACGCAAAACCGTTTACGGCAAGCCGTCAGTCAAAACTTGCGTACCTACCTGGATGCCAGAGAAGCGCGAGCTTTCTGTAGGACAGTTTCAGTTCCTCAGGAGTCGCGCTTCTGGACACACCGAGAACTTCGTAGTGACACTTCATGTCGATAAAACAGAGCTAAGAAGGCAGATATAGACGAATAAATAAATATAAACGGGGACTCTAGGAGCGAATCTCAGGGTATACACGTTAAAAACCGCGCGACACAATTCATAATTCGCCGAGAACGGACACTCGCTCGATTTCCGTAATTTGAGGCAACGGCATGGCAACAGGCGCTTTTTCATGCAACGTTTATCTACGGTGGATTGTCCTGGATTGTCTCGACTTTGTTTCGTCTAGTAAAATGTATATGGCAGCCGTGACGTAGTTTGCATTCATTTTTATTTCATGCTGGTGCCCAAAAAATATAGACTTTGAGAATTACAGTAGACCTGCAATACAAATATACGCAATTATTCACTAAAACCCAATTGGTATTTTAACATTTTATTAAAACGCTAAACTAAATACACAAAAAAAACTTGCAAAGGGTATTAAAATAAATAAAAATATTTTTGTGCTATGATATTCATAAGTTTATGGCAACTATGACTTGTTTGCGATCCGCTTGGCCGAATTTGCAATGTGCTTTTTTTACTTTTTCAATCAGTTGCCAAGCCGCTCAAATAAAACTTGATTGACTCCGCAAACGTTGCTGTTGTCGATCGTCTCGAGAAAACGTGCCGCTCGTTAGTGTGATAAGAAGAGGAAGAAGTGTAGCAGGAGAACGATAGCGAAGACTCCAAAGCGCGTCCACACACACACAAAAAAGGGGGGCTTCGTCGTCGTGAAAGTGCCGTTGTCCAGTGCGACGTCGTCTGCAAGACCACACCATGGCGTGGTTGAGGAAGCCCATACGCGGCATACTGATGGACATCACCGGCGTTCTGTACGAGAGCGGCGAACGAAAAGCCATCGAAGGCTCCATCGACGCCCTCAGAATGTACGGCGGCCTTTCGTTTTAACACGACACGCTGGTACGCGGACGCCGACGCTTGATCGCGAGTTGGAGAACAATAGGGATGGATCACGAGGCATTTACCGCTTCAGTTTGCAAACGTCTCGGGTCATCGTCTGCTTGCGACTCAGTAACTGCACGCAGCGGCAGAAACGGCGCTAGTTTCCTTACTCGGCAGCTTGCATAACTCGAATCGCATTCTTTTTAAGGTTGCTTAAACTCGATCGCAGAGCTAACTGCAAGTGGAGGAGGCGGCAATCAAATCTGATTGCCATTAGGACAGTCGTGCGAAATGTGTATCCAAGAAATATTTTTTCAAGTAATTCCCACTCGAGAAGTAAAGTGAAAGGGGAAAATGTACACACTGAAAATTGATCAGTTTTCTAGTAACTGCTTTTGTGCAGGATCAGCAAAGCTAACTCTGTTGTAGATTGCAGAAAGTACAAAAATGAATGCACATGTGCACGTCCAGTTTACAAAGCACGTTTGAACCTGGGAAGCTGTCTTGATGCCCCCGTTTTGCTGCGCTATATCAGGAATAAAGTATTTGTGGTGCGTGTAGTACAAGAAAACTCTACTGCGCCTGTCAAGCGTATCATGTTTGGTAATGTGTCATGAAGCGAATGACATCATCTATGAACAAAGAAATCAATGAAGTTCATAAGGGTATGGGCTGATCGCTATTCCTTGTTGTACAGCTGGCAGTGTGAAAATCTGTGAATCATGCCACAAAAAGACATATTTATGTCGCGTAATATCACTCAACATTCAAAGTAGACTTCACAAATACTTTCAGGAACCACATACAGCACAATTCAAATTAGGACGAAGAACGCAATAGTACGAGCATCAAACCATAAAATATTTTTATTCTGAAGAAGGGAACGCTTTTTTAAAGCCCAGCCAATGTGTACGATCACGCTGAACACACCACTAAAGTGAAGCAGTCACCAGAGTTTAACCTAGAATGATTGAGTACAGACAGCGCTTGTACGTGCACACAGGCTTCGCACGGCCGACATACCATTCCGCTTCATCACAAATGAGACGCAGAAGACGAAGGAGCAGCTGGACTCGGTCCTGCATCGGCTGGGTTTCGACATCTACGAGAGAGAGATGTTCATGTGTGTGCCCGCAGCCAAGAAGTTCATCCACGACCTGAACTACAGGCCATTCCTGCTTGTCCATCCCAGTAAGAGCCTCTCCAGAGACCTATGGAGGTTTTTGAGCGGGTATTCACTCGAAAGACAAACACACCACTTTACTCAGCACAGTGCACATTGCCCGGACATATCTTGGCACACTCGAACCTTATATATCATTGCCTCGCCAGCGGAGGTCTAGTGGCTAAGGTCTAGCGGCTGCTGACCCGCAGGTCGCCAGGTCAAATCCCTGCTGCGGCAGCTGCATTTCCGATGGAGGCGGAAATGTTGCTAGGCCTGTGTGCTCAAATTTGAGTGCACGTTGAAGAACATTAGGTGGCCTAAATTTCCAAAACCTTCCCCAACAGCATCTCATAATCATATGGTGGTTGGGGATGTTAAACCCCACATATCTATCAATCAACTTCACTTCAGCAAAGTTTCATTTTACTCAAAAAGAAGTTCCTATTCATAAATTTGTTAGAAAGGTATATTTACAGTACTGTATCTACATAAAGACAATTTTTTATTTACTGCATTAATCGATATTTTGTAATATCCGTGTTCATTGTATCGAGATTTGAGAGTCTACCAATATTTGCGTGTCAAGTTATAGCAAAAAACAAGGCCTTCTTAATAAAAAGAGCAGACATTACTGTAGGCAACAGACATATTTAAAATTTTCTTTGTGCAAGGAAGGGCACTCCAAGCCAATATACATGCACATCTTGTATCTGTTATTTCAGGAGGTATAATTCAAATGTGCTAGTATTGCATATCACTAGGCACTAGTGGGTCAAAGATCACTATCTGGGGCAGAGGTTAGTTAGGCTCACGTGTATAGATTGTAATTGAAGGGCTTGGCACTGCAGTGCAACAGAGTAGAGACACAAGAGTTGGAAGTTTGGTTTAACAGAGTAAACATAAATGTGTCAGAGTAATCGCTACTAACGTAGCCCTATGTAAATCTGTCATCAGTTTTCTTGTCCATTCTTTCTGCAAGCGGCTGCGCATAAGCTTCCGTTGAAGATTATTAACATTCCTTGTGGAGTCATTGAGCGAAAAACAGTACGGGACAAAAACGTGGACAGGACAGGCACTCTGTCCTGTATTTCACTTACTAACTTCACAATGATGCAATAACTGGCTTAACAGTACACACTTCCGAAATAACATCCACCAAGGTTTTTTTTTTTTTTTGGCTTCACTCTCTGTTGACTCGTTATCATTTTGGCTTAACGCACTTACTCTGTCACTGGCTCATTTGCATGGCCTGAAGATGTCGAAGCCGAGTTCGCCGAGTGCAACCAGAACGAGCCAAACTGTGTCGTCGTGGGCGACGCGGCCAGCAACTTCTCGTACGAGAACATGAACCGGGCGTTCCACGTTCTTGTCGACAATGACGACTCAGTCCTCATCACGCTTGGCAAAGGGTGTGTAGGTCTCAACAACACTCCCATCGGTATTGTAAAATTCGGCTTCTTTTCTCGTAGAGTAGTCCGTACAATGTTTCAGTTGCTTGTGAAGTTTCTTAGGCTTATTCACCTTTTTCAAGATAATGTGATCGCTTTGGTGCTACTAACATTCACTAACAGAAGGCGCTATGTTGATGACTGTGTAGATAAACATTGAAATGAAACAAACATATGTTGACACAATCAACAAGTGATGTTGTTCAAGCACTGGCAAACGTGCAATGAACATAGTGGAGACTATCCTGGAGACTGCGCTTGTCCTATGTGTTTCAATCTTATAGCCGTGTTTTTTTTTTGCGCTGTTAATTTTAATTATCCTGGATACTGTGTCAGAAAGTAGATACACTCAAACCTCAATATAACAAACACGAATATAACAAAATCTCGTTTATAACGAAGTAAATGAAAATTAGTCTTACAGTGAATAGAGTGTTAGAAATGACCTTTATTACAAATTTTCAAACATAACAAACTTATTTTCTTCCAAGATTTAACTTTGTTATAATGAGCTTTGAGTGTATGTGCTTGTGATCATAGTTGTCGATATTGTTCCGTACAAAAATATTTAGTAACTTCTACTTTTGCTCCATATTTTAGCATAATTTTTATGACTAAATATTTTAATAATAAAGAAGTTTATTAACTACAGCCTGCAAAAGTAGCACCGCTACCTTCTAGCCTTCTTTTCGTATGATTATTCGCTTTTTGGCTCAGGCAGTATCTGGCAGCTGCGACTCTGATTTAACAACATGTATCAGCCACTTTCATAATCAGCGTGTTCTAACAAATTTTGATAAAAGCGCCGCGATGTAAGGCATTTCAAAATCTGATTGGGACAAAATGCCGAAGCCGCTGCTCAAGTGAACAAGCACATGGGATTAAAATTATTTGGGTGCCTCCACTATTGCCCAGTTGTTGCTTTTTAATTTCAAGTGTAATCAGTAAGTGAGTCACTAACAGAAGTTTTCAAGTGTTATATTAAAAGTGCCTGAGTATTAAAGAAATTGTCTGCAAACTATTGCATCTAGAAATTATAATTACTTAGTTTATCATGGCTCTTAGAAATGTAAATGTGCCGTGTACAGTAACATATAATCTGTCTTTCAACACACTATGCATTCACCACCTTTATTAAGGTACCAATAGATTACACGCCTGAACTTCTAGATCACTTCGAAAAGTAAAAAGGTGGCGTACAGTGTACAGTGCTTTGACAGCAATGACAGAGCACATGCTGTCTGTGAACTGCTGTCGAAATGGGCTAGTATAGTTCACATACCTTGTCACTATTACACATCATTTGTCAGCATTAACACAATGTTTATTATTGCAAATGCTGTTTAGGTACAATGAAACCATTAATGACTTAGCCTCATCAGTTATGTCGGTTGCAACAATCAGCACACATTCAGTTAGGATTAAGCCAAGCAGCCAGTTTCAAAGCCATAACACCAACAACGAGTGATGAAGACTGCACTCAAAAGACCCTCGAAGCTCTATACAAGCATATAAATCTTGAGTGTCAAGCTATCATTTAATAAAAAATGCACAAGCTGTAATCTCTGTACACTCTCCCAACTCTCCTTTTTTGCCAATGCCACGACCTCTCTTTCATGCGCTCTTTTTGTCAATAAGTGGCACGCGAGACAAACACGAGTGGCACAACAAACAGAGATGGCCCGTCCTTTGTCGTTTGCTGCGGCATCCACATTGCGAAGAACAACCTACTAGCTTGATATCGCACCTTGCATAGACACTCTTCGCATTCTGGCAGTGTCAATAGGTTACATGAGAGAGAAAGCCGGGCACAGTACAGTGATAACCATAGTTCTTAGGGTGAGCTAGTTGGTTCGTGAACGTTGTGGCGAAGAGTCTACAGGACTGCAGCGCTGCGTCCCGTACATTCTTCATCTAGTTGTCTGCGCTGTTTCGCCACAGTGATAACCATAATTTCAGTCCGAGTTGCCTTATGCATCAAACAGGCTTAGTTCCCACCCTACTTGTTTTATGTTGCTGCTGGAGCACTCTTGTCTGGCATTTTTTTTTTTACCACGCAGTAAGTACTACAAAGAAGACGGCAAAATGACCATGGATGTTGGCCCTTTCACAGCTGCTTTAGAGGCAAGTGCACTTCAAAGGCCAGTCATTCATTGTGTGTTGGTGTATCATAAAAACCACCAATAAGAGGCTGAGCTACTACGTTCCAATGAAACTAAGCTGCCGAATGGCTAGTACCTGCAGTTATGTTTCCTAGTGACATGCGAGGACAGACTTCAATGGCTGCGCAGGTGTTCTGGTACTGGGTGTGAGATAACATACCACTGTGTCACATAGAGTAGTCGATAAGAGATACACTTATACCTGCAGCAATCATTTTAGAAGGCACAATGTTCTGTATACATGGTCAGCCAATTTACCAAAAGCAAGGTATTGGTTTTCAGGAACTTATACAGCTCACATTTGGTATAGCACTCAGAAAACTACACCTTTGTTTCTTCACATTATTACATTTTTTAAAGTCATTAGATAACCTTTGCATGTAAAATAAATTTACTTACATCAGCTTACATGCTAGCGAGGCGTTTCCCTTAAACGAGGTTGACCTTGTGGTCACCTTTGCTATCTTGCTATTATTTATTTATTTATTTTTTGCAACGTCTCTTTTTCTCTTGCTCGATATCCTCCTCAACTATTTCCTGAGCACAGGGTATCAAACCAGTTTAAGAGCTGGCCAGCCTTCCTATCTTTTCGCTTGTTTTTTTTGCTTTCTTTTCTTTAGGAAGCACAATATAGAAATGCAAATAGCTAAAATAAATCTGTAGCCCATCATGGTTGCCTCATAGCTCACACTGCAGTATTTTGATGCAGCGATTACCTATATCACCCAGTTATCGATATGAAACATCTTGTACATTCTTGTCTTGTATTACATATATGAAGACACCGCTAAGAGTTGCAAGCCTAGAAATTGCATGCAACAATTGCTGTAATCGTCACGGCTTCCTGCCTCCCTGCATGCAGATTACAACACACCTAGGAGTGCTCCTAGTGCCTTTTCCGAAACTTCCTCTTATTTCCTCGCAGTATGCAACTGATCGACATGCCATCGTGATTGGCAAGCCTGGGGAAGAATTCTTCAGGCTGGCGCTAGAAGACATGAAACTGCGGCCCGAGGACGTCGTCATGATTGGCGACGACCTCGTCTGCGACGTCGGTGGCGCCCAGAGCGCGGGAATGCGCGGCGTGCTCGTGCGCACCGGCAAGTTCCGGTAGGTTTCGCAGTTTCAAAAATCGAAATGACGCTGTTCAGCGATCACCGAGTTGGTTGCTTACAAGGGCTAGCCTTAGATGTGAAGAACACGGCGTCGAAATTCTGTAATGTGCTGTGTAGGACAGAACAAGCGCAAGATATTACACAGATCTCACAACAGCTTGCATTCTGACCAGTGAGCAAAATTTCTGTTAAACAATGCAAAACAGAAAAATCTTCATGCCCTTTTATGGTAACAGTGTTACTTTTTTCGTGCATATTTTATCCAACACACTTCATATCTCGCATTCTCTAGGACACATTAATAGTGTATAGAAATCAGTGAAACTGAATTTGCATGCAGTTGAATGGCACTATAACTAATGCATTAATCCAGGAGCAATCTCTTGAACAAAAGGGACAATATGAAATTACTACCTTCTCATATTCGAGCTATTGCAAGCTCTTATATGTAAAACAATGAAAAACTTTGTTAACATGCGAGTTAAACAATTTGTCTCTGTGTCTAATCGCATTTTCGATAAAGCAGATTTCCATGGAAGCAGAGAATCTGTGAACAATTAGGGTAAGACCTGCCCTGCGATGTTATTGATTTCCTTACCAAGTGGGACCCACAATCGGGGACAACGTTACTGTAGCAATGAACGAAAAAGTGGCGGAGGGAAAGTGTGTGCAAGCAGTGTACAGTGTGTGTATTTAAAGCTGAAAATTAGATAGCACCTTATTTGTGAAGTCATTCAGTCCTTTTCAGGCACAAATTAATCGTGTTTATTGTAGGCAGCTGGTTTTTACAACTAGAGATGTAAGATGTAATGGTAAAAATAATAAAAAATTGGAATCTGTATTCACACTCTCTAGTCGAAATAAGCAGCAATTGAATTAATGCATTGCTACATAGTAACATCTGTAAATAATTTATTACTCAAAAGTTACTTCCATGGTATAAAATATTTCTCCCATTACCAAAATTCAAAATTTATGCACAAAACGCAAACAAACGCCCTACCTCTGCAGGACAAGATGAAACTGCCTCAGCGGAGTGCGGGAACAGCCCGAGCACTTTTGAAGTTCCTCCATTCACACATGATCCAACACTCCTCGAGTCTGCCAAATTGGCAGCATGTGTAAAGCTGATGCAAAATATAGTTGTGGCAAAAGTGGCAACACTTTTTTTCACAGGTGGTTGTTAAATGATCTACAATATTCACGAGTCCTCTACCAACCACTGAGTCTCAAAGGGTTAAGCACACCCATATAAACACTGCTTTGTAGCTTAACGAATCTTGCCTTAGCTCTCTTGTGCACTCGAAATCTAGTTTTCTGCGGCACTTGGAGTGATCGCTACGACCCGTGCTCGAGTTACCACGTTTGTTTTCATTGCAGGCCCGAGGATGAAAATCACCCCACCATCAAGCCAGACGCTATCGTCAAAAACCTGTTGGAAGCTATCGAGCGAGTTCTCTCGACAGAAAGGCCAGCCAAGGAAGTTCGACCAGAGTGACTCTACGAACATGCATGGAACTTGCGTGGATTTTCTTCGGCACTATTTCTTGGTACCTAACAATTAAATACCAATAGTACCAACTCTCACAACACAGAAGATGCACACTCAAACCTCATTATATCAAAGTAGCAACTTACACGAAAATAAATTTGTTATATCCGAAAATTCGTTATAAAGGTATATTTCTAACACTGTATTAATTGCAAAACTAATCTTCATTTACTTTGTTATAACTTATATTTCATTATATCTGGGTACCCTATATCAATGCTAGAGCGTAAGCGTAGTTAAACCACTGTGTTTTCAAACCAAAAATGCAACAAGTTAACCCACGTTTGTTTATTGAAATGTGACCAGCAAGAAACAGTTGTACATATTAGTTGGACAATTTTATAACAGCCATGCACCGGGGAGCAATTCCCATGTTTTATATGAGGAGTCTCTTATAAACAGGGTACCATGTATGTATTTTCTTATTAACACCTATTTCGATGTAGGCCCTCTGGTGCCCCTTATATCCATTGGTTTTTACATCAGTGTCTCTTATGGAAGTTTAAGCAGTGTGAGCATTTGAGTGTGGAATAGTGACTGCTTTTTTATAAAATCTATGTTGAAAGGCATAAAGTGCCAAAAGGCCTGTAATTGTAATTTGTTTAGAATGTTCTACGTATCAGAGCCAAACTACCAATCAATCTTGCCGAAGTTGCCCCGCCGCGGTGGTCTAGCAGCTAAGGTACTCGGCTGCTGACCCGCAGGGCGCGGGTTCGAATCCCGGCTGCGGCGGCTGCATTTCCGATGGAGGCGGAAATGTTGTAGGCCCGTGTGCTCAGATTTGGGTGCACGTTAAAGAACCCCAGGTGGTCTAAATTTCCGGAGCCCTCCACCACGGCGTCTCTCATAATCATATAGTGGTTTTGGGACGTTAAACCCCACATATCAATCTTGCCGAAGTTGACGATTCCACAGTTTTAAGATTAATGTGAATCAAGATTAATCCAGTCTCACGATTAATATGAGTATATTCACAAACTTATGCCAAAAATATGCACAAAGAAACTTTATGTGACGTATCCTTTACACACACTAAAAGCCTAGTTTTGCTGTTAAACAAGCAAGAAAAAAGAAAAATCATCTGCATTGACACCAAGAGTCTGGTGTGAACCAGACGTTTTTGTGAAATTTCATTTCATTTATCCAACAAGCTTGAAAGCCTGACGGTCTGACACAAAAGGATGGAGGCATTACAGAACAAGTTCACCTTGTTTCCATGTAGCCTTAAGCTACTCTATCTTGGGCACTTTATTACAAAAAACTCGTTAGAATTATCTCGCATTCCTGAAAGCCTACATACTGTATGCAACTCCTCCCACTCTGAATACTGTCCCCATTTCTGTGACAAATGCTTAATAGCATTTAATGAGATCTAACAGACAATCATGGCAAGGAAAGTATAGGGGATGTTATTAGAAGTAATAGTAATGTAAATGTGAAGAAACAAAAGTCTACGAAGAGATAACTTGCAATAAAAAGTGACTGAACCTCTGACCTTCGAATAACGCACCCAATGCTCTACCAAATGAGCTACTATGGCGGCTATCTCCCGGTGTATATGCGCATTAGATGTGAGATAGCCAGTCAACGCTGCCAGTAGCCATGACAGTGAGTGTGGAGCGCTCTTTTTCTGCCTGTTTGGTGTCAGGTAGTAAGTGGTCTTATTACAAGCTATTATCTGACTAATAATCTCTCGTGTTCTACCTGAAGGCACTAAGTCTGCCAAAAAGAGGCCCTCACTATGAATGCCGGAAAGAAGGGTAATGAGCCCTTATATATACCCATCGTTCCTTCAATAATGTTTAAATGATTCCAAGAATGTCATCTTTGGCAGTTTTACCACTTCTATTCTTTACCCTCCAATTCCTATCTCTTTTTTTTATTCTCTAAATAAGGAGTGTGGCAGGCTGCAGTTGCGAAGGAGTCTGGCAGGCTGCATGGTTTGCAATGGGACTGTGTTTGCTCTTGAATTGAAATGTACTCAACACATTGTTCTCCCCCCCCCTATGTAATGCCCTTCGGAGCCTTTAGGGTATCTGAATAAAAAAATGTTAGCCCCACAATAGCTGCAACAGCTAAGACCGTGAGAGCTTGAGGGTAGGAAGTGACTTTGAAACGCAATGTTGCCTAACATCGCTGTTTGAAAGAACACCTTGCCCATGCATATGCCATATGTGGTCATTTCTGAAGGAATTCGACATCAAGTTAGGGAAAAACATACCCATGTGATTTCCACAATGACTGAAATTTGTATGCAGATTCAAAAGTACAGTATACTCTCTGTAAATGGAAATCTGTTCAACAGAACTGCTACTTAAACAGATCAACTACCTCTAGCACGATTGGTTCCCTACTGGTATTTTTCAGCCTTACTTGTCTCTCAGTAAATGGGACTTGTGTAAAAGAGAACATATTTTCATGGTTCCTTCAGGTTCCATTTAATGAGAGACTACTGTAGTTAGTTTTCTTTCCAACTCTGAATGACTGAATGGGATATTTAACAGAAAAAACAAAAAATGCTCGAAACCAGTCTCATGTCTGTGTAACTTATTACCAATAGAGCACTATTAATTGCAAGAGAAGCCACAAAACTTCACTTCGTGTGAACCCGTGGGCCAATTGATCGGCAGGCCGCGTGTTTGAGACACCTGCTATAAATGTTCGAAAGGCCAGAATAGGAGCTAGTTCATAGTACGTAGTTTACATTTGCGATGTGCTGTTTGAACACCAAGAAAGATGCAAAGACCACAAGTAGAACACAGCACGCGTTGGGTTCTGCCTCGTGTTGTGTTCTACCTGTGGTTATCGTGTGTCTTCCTTCATGTTCAATTAAGAAGTCGCAAGTGTCATCAAAAAGTTCTATTTTCTAGAAGAATGAAGCATGTTACCTACGAGGCAAACTATATTTCCCGAATTTCAGACCCACAGATACTTCCTGCAGAATGAGCGAATTCACAGAAAGTTTCCCCTCCACTGACTAAACATTCAGTGAGCCTTTGCTCTACTGAATAAATTGAGTAAGCAAAGCTTCGGGACTGGTTGCTTCACATACTTCTAATATTTTTTTTTATTTCTAACACACTGCTTTATGCTCCAATGTTTCTTTCTTCTATACCATGATTAGAACCTTTATCCAGGTGCTTCACACAACACTTCGGTTGCTATAGGCAACAACAATCGTTTCATTGGTATCCAGGCAACTATGAAATGTGGCAACGCGAAGTGCCAAGCGAGTTCGATCAGAAACTGTTGATCGCTCACGATCCATGTTCGGGAGAGCATCAATTAGTGCATAACACCCCACAGGTCTGCGCGGAATGCGCAGCACAGTCACAGTGAAAGCTGGAAGAGCACTTTTTCTAGAGGCTTTTACAGCGAAAGCTGTTATGAGATCACAACTCGGGTCTCATGCAGCGCCGCAGTTATCCGGGTCCGTAACCACGTCGCGCGAAATTAGCAAAAAAAAAAAGCTGCTACTACCAATGACACAGTGGGGCTCAAACCCGGGTGCACCAAGTGCCAGCTCAGTATTCTACCACTGAGTCATGCCGGTACTTGGTACTTGTTGGCAAACTTGCCTCAGGCAGGCCTAATATCGGGTAAAGAATCGCATTATTACGACTTACAGAGCAAGTGTAAGGAGTGGGTCGTCCAATGCTCCAACCCATTACAAAAGCTTGTGTTAGTTCAGCTATCAACTGTGGTGCATACCCACTTGAGGCATGCATAATTGCTCATCGTCGCCAGCCACTGCATGAACAATTGGCACAAAATTCCTTGCAATAGTTTAACGGGTACCACGCTTCTCAGAAGAATGACGAAAAATAGCATAGCAAATGCCGCCCTAGTGGGCATCAAGCAAGTGTGCTTGCAACAGTTACCCAATGAGAGTTCAGAAAAGGTTCTGAAAGGCTGCTCTTCTAGCTTTCGCTGTGACGGTGCTGCACCTTCCGCGAAGGCCTGGCATTTTATTAAACACTTGTTTATTTGTCACCTAAAGGATTTTGGTTTAGGGGCAACTAATACAAGCACAGCTGCATGGTACCCATTATGGTATAAATCATACTTTTTGTGTAGTGGCGAAGCTTCCACTGTGCCATTATTAGTCATTATTTGGAAAAGCATAATGTCCGCTACACACTCGTAAGGCATTATGTGCACTTCATTGATGATGTGGCTGATGATGAAGAATCATGACTGAGGCTTTTTTTAATGGGTTGGAGCATTCAACGACCCACTTGTTACATGATTCACATCGCGACGCCTGGTTGGTACTTCACTGTTCTAAAAGGATTTGTTACACAGGTTGATGCAATTCCTTACCTGGCATGAAGCCTGCGTAGGGTCAGTTTGCAACGTGATTTCGAGCACCACTACAGCTCAGTGGTACAGTACTGGGCTGCCACCAGTGAGCCCGAGTTGGATTCCTATTGTGCCCTCAGTATTTTTTTTTTCTTATTGCACACGATATTGGCTATGAATTGGTAATGGTGGACAGCTACGAGGTCAAGATCTCATCATAGGTGTGTTCAGAAGGGGGGGGGGGGATGGTGTAGCCATCACCCATAGTCACCTAAAAGTGGGGGTAGGCACAAAGTCAGCCCTATACATTGATATAATAGGGAGCTGGTGCTGCGAGGAACCTTTGCTTCACCCCTACCACGGGGTACCTTGTGAGCGCCTATGTATCTCGTAACAACTTTCGCTGTAAAATTGCGCATACGGGTGGGGCACCTTTAAGGGCCAGATTTTTGCAAGCTCGCTGGTGCTAGGTCTAACCAAAGCTGCCACCAATGAAATCTGTGAGCTGTAAAAGCTCCACTTGAAAACAAAAGTGCTCATTTGCAACTTGAGTTCTCACCACTGCAGCATAATGTTTGAAACAAATCGCCCATCAATGCCACTGGGCCAAGAGGCTCCTACGTGACAAATTTGTTTCCGGAACGTATAACAAGACAAATAAACACGTGATTTATATACGTGAACTTTTATTTACACTCCCTCGTACCCGAGAGCTTCACGAAATTGACAATAGACCTACTTGACATTTGCAGATATCACGCTTTTAATGCGACGTGCGAGATACAATAGTCATTCGGAGCAAAGTTTGCAATGATGACTCTGACAGCCCTGCTTTCTTCACACACTTCAGACAGCACTGCCACTTTAAACTATCATTAAGTGACCCAACAGACATGATGAAGATACAACAAATGACGTAATACAAACATGAATTGTATAACTGCCAAAACGGTGGCATCAGGGTTTGTTCTTTCCCCTTACTCGCAATGTATTTACATACATAAACATGAGTGAAAACACAGTAGTTCTTTCCTGCTAAAAAGTTTTAAAAAAGGATAATAAAAATTAAACCGCTAGTAATCAAGCTTTTTCTATTCACAGAGTTGTGCCTTACACAGCGAGAAAGTGGCACCAGCATCTTGAATAAAAATTCCCCCTTCTCACAAATGCACAAGTCAATCATTTTCTTGAACGAACATCAACAAGAAGGTGCCAACAGTCTCATCAAAAGCCAGGCAGACGTAGGTAGAATGAAAAAGTTAATAAGCCACAAACATTCTTTATCACAGGTAGATTCTTCGCAGGTCGCTGGCGCTGGTGATTGAATTGCACTGTGGGCAGAGCTTCTTTGCACCCTGCAATTGGAGGTCAAGCATTCGTAAGAGTCAATAAATAAAAAAATTAAGTAGAAATACAGATTCATGAAGGTACAATTGCAGCATGACTGTTAATGGTAGTAACACTTTTGCAATGACTCTTATAACTAGATGCTATGCAGAAAAAATGCTTCTTATTATGCATGATGACCCCGATGAAAGTCACGATCTGATGGTTCCTTTTAACTAAATGCACTATGAAGAACAGTTGTTAGAACACATAGGCGATCCCGCATGACAGCCAGCACTGCAAGCGGTGGAGTAATGTTCCTCATTCACATTTACAATCATAGATAGTAAGCTGCATATGAAAGAAAGATACAAGTGCAAATCGTGTGGCTGAATGCTAACATTAGGTTTCGTATCCTGGTGGCGCAAAAGATGAAGCGATTACTGCACACTAAACTTTGCTGACTGAAGTAAATAGAGGAGCAGGTTAGTTGAGCGGAGAATTTCTAGGACTAGGTGCCAATAGCACACTTTCTCTTTACACCCCTCCATAACGTTACCTGATGAGAAATATGACATCAAGCCAAAGCTGATGGCAGAAAAAATAAAGTGTAACATTTTGAGATAAAATTTAGTATTGCATTATGAAAATCTTGTTGAAAAACTACTGTGTTGTAAAAAGAGGCAGCTATTTCTACACCGAAAAATCTGTGGACCGGTTTGACGGCTTACCAAGGTCTTGAGCCAGCATTCTTGGCAGTGAACGTGCCAACAGACGATGGACACCACAGGGTTTTCATAAGGATCCTGGGAACGTGCAAATGGTTTCAGTAGGCATTAGCACATCCAGTAGTCTTCTAGCATGATTCACGAATCATCAACCCCCCCCCCCCCCCCCGAAAAAAAAATAACATGTTTAGTGGGCTAACAGGATAACTATAACGCCTCCCTGATAACTATACTTCCTAATGTTAATTTCGGTATCGCAACTTTTACAGGAAAGCTTTCACAACAGTACTTGATGTGCAGAAAAGTACCACCATGGAATCGAACAAACTCGTGCAAGTTTCAGTTATTCAGAGCACTCAGATGAGCCTGTTAATGATCATAGATTTTTATGTACCCAACACAATGGGTTTGCAAAAAAAATGATTAAAAGAGTTCTGAAATCAGATTTGAAGCAAATGTTAACAAAGAGTAAACGGTAACAGGAAATAACTCGACCACTGATATTTCAGATAACAGAACGTGCTGCCGGACCAGTTGATGTTGGTTCAGCTGGAACAGACTTATACGGCCTTCAGTACAACATAGACAGCAAAAGCTCCAAAAAAAAAAAAAAAAAAAGACAGAGACAATTAGTACTGCTCATATGAGCTTCTTTGTCGGCAGCATTTTATTTAGCGTTGTACAAGTGAGGCAATTAGCGATACACTCTTCTTTCAATAACGATGGTGTTTTGAAACACACTCAAACATCATTCTAACAGTCACATCTGCCATTAATATATTTTGATATATCCGAAAATCCGTTATAAGCGATTATTTGTAATACTGTATCTATGACAAGCTACTGTTCACTTACTTTCTTATAACCGCTAATTTGTTCTACTCTAATTTGTTATATCGAGGTTAGAGTTGCATCCATCATGCAAGCAATCTGGGACATATTTTTGCGAGAAAAAAAATGGAGGACGTGTAGAGACGGAAAGGTGTTTGAAGCAACAATAATTTGATCAGACTTCGCTGGTGACACTCACCATGCAAATGAGGCACTTGGACACAGCTTGGTTTTCACTCTCCAGCTCTCGCAGTCGTTCCCGTAGCGACTGCACCACTTGAGACATCGCCCCCTCGGGGAGGTCCAGTTCGGCACTGCATTACAGATGGGAAACCAGCTTACTACAGCGAGTTTAGCATGCATGCGAAAAATGCTGTGAGTTACTGCACTAAAACCTCGTTATAAAACAGTTGCACCTTACACAAAGTTAGCTTGTTATACCCGAAAATTCGTTACAAGGTATACTCCTAACTATATGTCTATTGCAAGAGTATGCTTAATTTACTATATAGCCAATACTTATAACCAATATTTTGTTATATCCGGGTTAGCTTATTGAGGTTTCAGTGTACTTACAGAAACGATTACTATGGGACACGATACCTTCTCAAGCTGTCTTTTTTTCTCATGAGAAAATGCTGGTGTGGTCGATCAATCTCTCACAAACTGTCAAGGGTTTTAATACATGCAATGCTAGAGAGATACCATCAAGACCCAGTCAAGCACCCCCTCTGCCGTGAAGGATAATTGCTCAAGATTTGCGGGAAGGGGGGGCGGGGGCTTGTTCGGTCATGGATCGAAATTGAGATGGCGAGGACGAACCACTAAGGGCAAAATGCACACCTGTGCTTCTAAAGAAATGCGTAATTCAATACGCATGCACTGACTGTATTCATTTGCCCTCGTAGAGCGAATTAAAACCGTGAACAAAACAGTAAAGATGGAACAAAACAGTAAAAATGAGAGATGGGGGCACTTGCTCAGAATTTATGATAATATTGTGTGAAAATATACTTTACAGCTTTCTGTGACGATATAGCAACACAACCAGTCCTTCCTAATGCTTGCAGCTACTGTACATGAAGGAAGTTGAGTTGTGTGACAGTTTTCAATACTCAACATATGCTTCTATAACATATGAACAGATCAAATTCAGCAGTCAGTGTATTGTAGCTTTTCCCATGCTGCTCATTTCTGCTCAACATTTTTTTTTACAATTTGTACCTATAATTATTATTTGACTGAGTGCATTATCAATGCTAGTATCATGGGTATGGAAAGGCCCCTCTGGCACGAGCACCGAAATGACTCCAAACGGATGCAGTCGACTGAATTTGAGCTTCCCTGTTGACTTGCATTCTTTTGCACGGTCTGCCATGTGAACCCAGTGAGTGTTAACTCATAAATACTCACCATAACACTATGTTTATTCGCTCGTTGATCGTTCTGATTAACTTTACCTCACAATTTCCAAAATTATGCAGTGCTCCAAAAGTGCATGACAATAAGCGACGAAGACAAACAACTTTCTAAACTATTAGCCAGGGTAAAGACACCACAGCTGCAAGTTAGTTAATCAGCAATTAAATGTCAGAGAACCATAGCTCATCAACAATAAATTAACACCTTATTATATTGCATTTTTATTACTGAATAATGGCCCACTCACCCATGTGATGCAGGCTTGTCTTCTGTTAGTCAGCCATGAAAAATAAAGGATAAAAGCAAGATTAATACAAGGCAATAAGTAGTGAAGCCATGACAGAAGCAGTTGGTTTCACGGAACAATTAGCTTTCATGAAAATAACTGACCACAGTACAGTCTACAATCAAAAAATGCCAATCAAAGGACCCCTGACAGCAAAAGTTTTGCTTGAGAGCCTTTAACAATAACTTGTAGCTTTGTGTATGGTAGTGTCGAAATTGAATCGTAAATACTCTAATGCTTCATATAATAAATGCTGCTGTCGCTAATTAAGAACGATTTTGCATCATTTCGAAATGCGTGCCTACATACCATAAGAAACTAGCGCCCCACAGCGGGGAAGCGCCTGAGATTGCGTGTGCTCAAACTTCGGGGATGCTGAACGCCCCGTTTCCAAATAAGGGGAACCCGAGGGAGGTGAGGAATAAAACAATGTGAATGTATTGAGAGTGCCCCCTGTAGGAAAAAAAAAAAAGAAGAAGAAAGCATTCCTGATGAGCCAATGTCATTTTGGAGGGGAGCAGGTTAACAACAGAGCTAGAAAGGTGACGAACAATAGTCCACCCTCAGAGCCAGTCAGAGTATTGTGCGAGCCACGCAAATATTCTCCCACGCCGATAATCCTTGCTTGACTTCTGCAACGCCACAAGGGAACCTCTGTCTACGTCGAACAGAAGAAAACGTCAACTGCACCTGAATACCCCGATGAGCACTCACCGCTACCTTGAAAACCAAATTAAAATATCTTATAGGCAGCACTCATCACTTATAATTGGTCAGAAGTGCACCTACATGCGAGACTCTTCAACAACACAAGCATATCGAGCTTTCAAATTCGGTGTCAAGGGTCTTTCAGGAAAGCTGGAAAGGTGGTCACACTTCTGTGTTACGTTCATCCCAAGCGCCAGGTCTTAATAAATATATTGCATGTGCTTCAAAGCTCCGTAATCTAGCTGTACTACTTACTTCGAAGTTGGTCACATTAAACATATAAGGTAGATTTTGAATTTACAAGACAGATGACCCAAGAAGCCTCATCAAATGTCACTGATGTTTCTACTACCAGTTGTCAACATGGCAAGCTTTTTTTAGCAATACTAACATTTCAACGCCTCAGAAGGAATGGAGAAATGTTATTGTGCGAGAAGTTTCAAGTCTTGAGGTGCCTGCAATAAACTAAACAAAAACGGTATCATGTTGCACAGTAAACACTAATTACCCAAATTAATAACACTAATTATCCAAATTCAGCTTTATTGTAAATTATGGTAGCTGATTGATCATGACTATACTCGGAGACAATTTTCCTATCTTGACAGTGAAATGAAGGCTACTGAAGCGCGGCTTTTGCACATTTGTTTCTGTTCACAAGTAGTACGGCAGCTTGCAGCTGATATCGGTTTCGCTCGCTCGCGCCGTTAATGTGTTCACAAAAACAGACTACACCGAAAAGTGTGAATTGGAAAAGCGATTCTGCCAATTTATGAGTATTCATATTTTTCTTAGAGAAGTAAACAGCGTGTTTGCGGCCACACACTGCACTACTACATCAGGGACGCCATTGAAAAATGGGCGGCATGCTCAAGAGGTGTTGCTGTCTAAGAAATAGATAGAAAAGAAAGCATTCTTGAAAAGTGAATTCTACTCACGACATTTCCGTAACTGTTTGACTTTCATAATAAACAAAGCAGCATTCATTTCGACAAGACCGATGAAAAAATTATCAGTTAAATTAGGTTATTCATTTTGGCGCGGTAGCAGGCATGCGCTTTGGCGCTGTAGCTTCCACAGTTCTGTCAAGGAAAGTGGTCACTAAACATGGCAAGCTCTGACCACGCATGGAATCTGGTGTAGCTGCCTCGCACTACCAACTTTGTCTCAGAAGTGTATGTGAATGCTAAAATGGGCCCGCAATGCTTTCATTTTCTGAAGTCACAACTAAATAAGATACCAAGGAAGATACCAAGGAAGCGGCCCCTCGTTCACGCTTACGATGAAATATAATTCAACAAGATTTACAGTGGGGACTTTCACTCTACTACGATTTAGGTCCGGCACATCTTCGGGCCAAGTGACAGATCTGCCGAAAATCTCGTACACTACGACATTCAACGCACATCAGCACGACATCCGGCGTCAAAAGTGAGTGACCCCATTTTAAGGCATCTATGCACGATCGCGGAAAAAAATAAGAATAAGAAATGAAGTAGGAATTATTAAAACGAAGTGAAATAGCGCCAAACATCGTCGAGGCCCCTTGAAAGCTCGCTTTACAGCATGCATCCTAGCTATGCGGCAAAGCGACATTAATGGTCTTTCGGGCACAAATGAACCCGCACTAAAATTAGGAAAAAGGAATGTAAGTGGCTAACACACCAATGTTATCGAAATTCCGCTCAACGCGTGTATTTGATTAAAGTTGCCATACTACACATCGCTTTTAAATATATACCTATAATTTCGTGCGCAGTTTTGGCAAGTGCAGCAAAGAATTGGGGAATCGGTAAGATTATAGGCAGTGAATCGAACAAATGCTTGCTACAGTACTTAAATTTTCGCTTCCACTCCAAAATTCGAAAATATTAATTCAAATTGGTTCAAAGGTTCTGAAATTGTGCTTTACGCGCCAGAACCCTACGGAGGGGTAGTCGGCCTTCCTCCTCCAAAGTAAGCGAACCTTTTCTCAGCGATCCTATTTAATAATAAAATATCCGAGAAAAGCAGTCTTCCGGTTAAACGTAGTTAATACGTCGTTAGCCACGTGCTTACCCCGGACGTGCGCTACTTCTTTTGGGATGACGCAATCTTCTTCCCGCCTCGGCGAGGCATTCGACCGGTCGACGGGGCCAGCAGAGCTGAAGGTAGATAAGAACATGTATGTTTATTCACACACATACACACACACATTGCATATATATACCCCCCCCCCCCCCACACACACACGGTGTCCCAATTATCGTTTTATCACGCACCGCGATTTAAAAAAAAGCAAGAACAGAGTTACGCGAAGCAAACCTAGCGCATATTGTTCCCAGTATACAGTAGTAGCAGCTACTATTTTCGTAATGTCCATTAATTAATTAGTCGTCATTATAATCGAAACTCAAAAAAGTACTCACCTAATTATCAAAATGTCAATGAGGCAGATGTGCGCATGTTGAAACGACATATGGTTGTGCTACTTTCAGCAATGTACAAATTGCACGCTTATTTTTTTTTCTTGTTAATAAAGAAAGCCCGCGAAATATGAAAAATAACACGTGACTATACCACTAGGCGCATCAGGATGCGGCGCCTCAAACAAGCTCGCTTTGAGATCGCCAGTATCACTGAAATAAATGAAGAAAGAAAGAATACGCATCGCACTTGTTCCGTACCTACCTCCCTCCCGCGGCATCCACCGGGACCCCAGTGAGCATGCGCGTCCCTCTCTCTCTCTCTCTCTGCTCTCCCTACGCTCCCCCTCTCTCTTCCGAGTCGGCGGCGAAGGAAACGAAACGCTTGCTCAGTACACGCGATAACTTCGTAGCAGGTGATCGTGGGTGTTAAGGCGTTCTAAGTTTCCGTAAGCCAGAACGCGCCTGCCTTGGTTAGCAAGGTATCACGTTCGATGTCTCAGGCGTGTGCGTTGAGGGACTGGCTGTTCAGCAGTCACGGTCACCTGCAGCGTTAGTCACCGACAGCGCTAGTGAGGTAAAGGTTCTCAATGGTGGTGCACCTGCTTAAGGCGACGCAGACGACTTTCTGGGTGTGCCGTTCGCCATCGCCATGCTGCTTCACATGGTTCCCTTTAGCGGGAGATGGTGTGATATTTTTCCTACGCACTTCATATATTCTTTTCAACTTTTACGTCCGGATACTGTGTTAGCTCGTCATTCTTGAATGTGTATATATATATATATATATATATATATATATATATATATATCTATATATATATATATATGCACCACAGAAAAGTTAAGAAAGTCCGGAGCGTATTATTATTATTATTATTATTATTATTATTATTATTATTATTATTATTATTCGTGCTACAGTGAGCCCCGCCGCAGTTGTCTAGTGGCTAAGGTACTCCGGCTGCTGACCCGCAGGTCCGCCGGATCAAATCCTGGCTGCGACGTCTGCATTTTCAATGGAGCCGCAAATGCTCTAGGTCCGTGTGCTCAGATTAGGGTGCAAGTTAAAGAACCCCAGGCGGTCGAAATTTTCGGAGCCCTTGACTACGGCGTCTTCGTAATTCATATAGTGGTTTCGGGACGATAAATCCCGCATATCAATCAATCAGTGCTACTGCGAGGTGGATGCCACCACTTTTGCATTTCCTTTCGCTGTTATGAAGGCGCTTAGAGCTTATAACAGCCAGTACTAGCGTACAAGGTACTTCAGCGAGTGCAGGACAGCGGCAGTTTGGCATACCACACCCTCGAAAATGCCACTCTCCGCGCGCGCCCGTTCGCACAAATGCACAGTGAAATCAGAGATGAAAAAAAAAAGAAAAAAAAATGCCGACCGCATCGTCACACAGGGGAAACTCGAGTAAGTGCATCGCAGAGCGGTGGGGGCGTGAATGTTGCATATTTGGGCATGGTTTGGAAATGCTTAATCGTTATTTTGTCTTTTAATCTTATTTGTTGACTGAACGAGAAGAGTTGCCTTAAACATCAAGCGAAAGCCAAGTAAATACGCCCTTGACTGAATTCCTAACGCGCGATCCAGTACCTACTTAAATATACGGAGCGGCCAGTGAACGCTTCTACAGCGCGAGCAGGTCTTTTGTTTTTGTTTGTTGTTTTTTTTTACTAGCATGCGCTGTCTGCGTCGGGCTGGCGAGGCGAGAGAGAGAGGGGGGGAGGGCGAAGACAGTTTGCGGCTGTCTTCCTGGGCCGGCACAAGACGCGATCATGCACAGTGGGGGTGCGGACGGCGCCACCACCGACGCCGAAAAAAGAGCGATATCGCGCGACTAAGAAATCCTCCACAATAAAAAAAAAAAAAAACACGGACGCTTGACGCTTTAAAAAAAAAAAACACGCACGCTTGACGACAGCGGCCGCCCAGAACGCGTCAGAGGTAAAATGGAAAGGCGGTATGAAGATACAAAAAAAAAAACTATTGCCCCCCTCCCCCACCTAAAAAAAATCTTTATATTAAAGCCCATACTTCGATGCCGGAACAGACCGGAACCGGAAGTATCGATCAGCGTCCCACGACCGGCCACTCTACCTTCAAGGTGAGCGGCCGAAGTGGACAGCGAATACGCCGTTGACTGTTCCTTGCCTTCACGCCCATTCACTCTCTCATCGAAAAACAAACACAGCGGCACTCCACAGCGACGCAGAACACTCTGCCAGCACTGCGCTTGACCCAGAATGAAATGTAAAATCTGCCCTAGCGGCTATGGTGTTGCAATGTTTAAAGGGTCGCTCGTGCAAAACGATAGATTTTTACAGAAAGAAGTACCATTCAAAAACTCCAACGTATTTATTTCCACTATCGTACGATTAAGAAGACGAATTTCAGATCAATGTGGCTCTTTGAAATTCCGCGTCAGAATCTCTACACACGATCGTCAGCGCAAGTTCGCGGATTTTAAGGTGTTTTTTTTTTTTTAATACTTCGGCCACACTGGCTGGACGAAACTTCGTGAAACTCGGTATGTTAACCTTCCGGTGCCAAGGGGGACCTCGTACTTAATTTTTACCGATAAAATACACAAACCCCTAGCAGACACCTCCGCAATCTACGACATCACGGCCTAATCTTCAAGACGATAGTTATAGCGCGAGATCAAAACGACGACACAGAGACAAGAAGGACACGAAAGACACGTGTCGTCGTTTTGATCTCGCGCTATAAGTATCGTCATGCCATACCAACTAGCCCAAGCTGCCACACTTCTAATCTTCAAGGTCGCGTCGCCGTTTGGGCTCGTCGCCGACGAAATGCTCTCAGCGCGTTTTCTTGTTCAGAGAGAGTGTTTTCGCGGCAAGGGCTATGCTTTTGTAACGTAACCAGAAATTTCCACCACATCGGAGGGGGGAGGGGGGGGGGGAGTAAGTCATGCTTTATGCAAGTTCGTGTGTGCGTTCCTAAATTAGGGTGTATGCAAAATAGAAAATTTCCTGGTCACGCCAGTGGCCTTTTCGTTGAAAGGGCAGATAATTTACTAGTACACACAACAAAATCGATGTTCTCGTTAGTGACTTGGTTGCCTACGGTGACACACTTACCATATTTCCGTTCACAATCACGGCGTTCATTTCGAATGGGACCCTTTCGATTGAATTGTCGAGGATCGATTCGTTCATCAAGAGCGCAACCAGTCCACGACATTGTCATCGTTCACGGCGAAAGCTCTCGGCGAGTGTCGAGTGTGCTCGCTGCGCAGAGGACAGACACCCGTTACCGTGCTGCCATCCTTCTCTCTTTCTTCCAATCGGCCATTTTCTCTACAATCTCGCCCTTTCGCTTTTTGTGTGTCCTTTTTAACTTACATCATTTTCAGGCGCGAATCATGACGCACTGTCTTTGAATGCGTCAGAGAATAATCCCAAAGGCACTAACTGAGTCGTACGCTATCGGTAATTATTTGTAATTAGTACGAAAATCTACGTTTAATAATTCTGCAGTCAGTCATGTTCCATTTTGACATTAGAAGAATGAAGTCCTCACCTCAGGTTTTCGAATTAATCTTTACTAAAGTAATGGGTACCTAATGCGCGTACAATCACCTTTAGGGGCGAAGCTCCTAAAGCCGAGGGTCTGTCCATGCATGTCTCATATGATCGGTTCGTAACCACCTAGTTGTACGACTCACTCAGCAGGTGGCGCTAGTGTGAGTGACAGACAGATGGACGAACAGAGGCACGGATGGACGGATGGAAGCATGGACGAACGCCTTGCCCCACTCATCATCATTCACCCCGTCGGTATGCTGTGATTTTTTAGTTGTATTCAATCCCGCTCCAACTGGTGTATTTGACAAGTACTGCTCCAAGTGCTGTATTTTTCATCGCTCGTTAATTTGTTGGCTTAACGAGCTAGCCTTCACATAAAAAACACAGAGAGTACAACACAAGAAAGAAGGCCCTGTTCCCTGTATAGCACCTGCATATATCGACTTATCTAGAGAAAGAAAATAAAAATAATAAAGCTTGGCGGCATGTCAAGATTCCTATAATACTCGGAAGGTGAAAGCCTGCATTACTAAATGTGTCTGAATGACATAATTTAAGAAGCCCTAACTGTTGGGGATGTTGTCTTCTGGAACCACTTTAGCCACTGTATCGCTACAGTTTTTCTTATTTTTTGTACTTTTTTTGCTACTGTTCATTATCGTATTTGCTAATTTCTGACCAGTTTTCTGCCACTGCTAATTAGCTTATGCATAGGTGGACAGGTCTTAGTCCGGCAGAGATTAATCTGTCCGTAGTCAATTCGACCCCTGTAAGTGGGTGTATAATCTCTATTACGGTTACAAAAAAAAAAAACCATCGCGTAAGATGGGCCTCATATAAGCTGTCGTCTACGGCTGTCTTCTCCGGATGCCATGGTTTTGTCACCACTGCCCCCCCCCCCCCCCGTCACAAGTATGAAAGGCGAGAGGAGAGGCAAACGGGGACGCGACCCAGAGTACACAACGAGTTTCACTGGCAGTCCGCGCGACAGATTTGCCAAACATTTGCCCAATCTGCGAGAAGGGGGCCGCTGCCGGAAGCAGGCGCGCACTTCGGTCGGTTGCCCGCGGCCACTTCCTTCCGGATGTAGCGCTCGACGCATCGAGAGTTACACGCAACACTGCCCCCACTTAACGAAAGAGGGAGAAAGAGAGCGAGAGGACGCGCGACGCTTTCAAGTGTGTATTTGCAGCGTATACAGGGAAGACGCCGAGGGGGAGAGAGAATCCCCTATAGCCAATATTCAAGCAGCGACGGACTCTGTAGCGGTCCAAATTGCAATGCCAGTATTTATTTATTTTTATTAAGCGAAAAAAAAAGGAGAGAATAAGAATGATAAAGTTTGGCGACATGTTACATTCTTCGAAGGTGACAGACTGTAGCGTAATTGCTAAGTTTATTATGATATGCAGATGTAATTAGATTCAGGTGCACGTCAAAGAACCCATGGTGGTCGAATTGTCCGGAGCCCTGCACGACGGCGTCTCTCGTAATCACATCATGATTTTGGGACGTTAAACTCGTGATATTAATATTATTATTATTATTATATTATGCTGTACAGTCAGAAACCGGAATTCATTGCAAGACATAATGGGCGGTAATGTGGAAGACACAAATTTACACTTCCTTAATAATCTCAGTCAACTCCACTGAACCCTACCCCCTTCCCCAACTTTTTGCGGCTTTCTGATCCTCACTGCGATTGGCCCAACTTTGACCCGGCAACCACGTGTTGTGATGACATAATCTGACGTCAGTGCGATGACGTCACGATGACGCAAGAGATCGTCGGTATACGTCGCGATGATGTCACACCAAGCGTCCATACACCACTCGGTCAGAGGATGTGGTGCGGACCTTGTGCCAGTTCATTCGCCTGCCGTGCTTTCCTCGAAGTCACCCCACTACGAGACACTGAAGGCTTTCGCCTTGAAAAGGAAAAGTAAGAAGTGGCGGTACTCACGAGACTACAGCCTGCCGTAGCCTTCTCTCAGCGCTCTTCGCTGGGCTCGCTGCTCGCCAGGGGAATGAGGTCTGCCTCCGAAAACCTTGGCCAAAGTCAAGGGGTCGATCGAGATAAAAGCACAACGATAAAAAGGAAGGCCTCGAAGCGGTAACGAACGTGCGATAACGAGAGAACAACCCATTTTTCAACGAGGTAAAACGAGACGCCTCTTTCAGAGACACTGCGCAAGGAAATTATAGGTTGCTGCGACAGACTCATCTGCGAGCATGACCTATAAGCTCTAAACCCTTCTCTAGTCGCCAATAATTAACACATATATCGGGAGCTGCCAACCAAAACCTTTTACAACGCGTTGCTCGCCTTCTTCTCAACCCTTCCCTAGGAAGAAAAAATTGCACTCTCAATGACAAGACTTATTCTGCATTATTTTGTTTCACCTTGTGTCGGCTTGGTATTATCACTGTACTGTGTAAACGTCCTTCGTTCCTGACGCCTTTTCTTCTGTTGGTATTCCCTTCTCCTCAACAGAAAGAGGTTTGTTTACCTCTAATTCATCAGATTTTACGTAGCCATCTGATTTTCATACAACAGCCTCGACGCTAGAGAGCCGAACAAAGACCACAGACCATGATGCCAAAGCAAGCATAGTTGTCATCGTTTGTAGTTTTGAACTGAAGTGTAGTAATAATTGCATAAATTGAAATGAATGAAAGTGGACGAAGAAAACTTCGGCGCCGACTAGCACATAAAGCAACCCTCTTTCAGTGTCAGACAGTCACTGTCAGGGATTTCCTATAACTTCCTCAGGGTCACCGTTCATTGGTTTGATTAGGTTGTCTCTAGCCAAAAGCAACGAGCCCTCGATAAAGCCCCCAATATCGTTCAAGGGGGAGAAAGCTTCCTCACGGCTGAAAAGCCACTCTGTTGTAGGCCATGCTGCTACTTCTAACACCAAGATTGACCCTTCCGTTCACGACAAGGATACTGCGCTCTGCCATAGGCGTCTCCGTCCACATCCAGGTCGACGTCTTCGTCGTCGTTCGGCGCGCGGCCAGCGGCGGTCGCGGCGCCACTGCTGCCGACGCCGCTGCTGGTGCTCGCCGTGTTCCAGCCGGCGGCCCGGAAGCCTCCCTGCAGGAGCGAAGTCGCCCTGACGCGACTCTGGCCGGCCCACTCGTACTCGTCGAACGACTCGCCCACGCTGTCAACGTCGACGTCCTCGTCCGTCAGGTCGTCGTCCTCCGGTTGTTGCTAGCCGGCGAGCACAAGCGCACAATCGGCAACACACACTCGCGTGGAGGCAGGCGTACAACGAGAGATCTAAATGACACCGAAAGCCGTTTCCTGTCAAAGCCATCGCAGAGGTCTTGTCTAGCGGTTATGGCGGTCGACTGCTCGCCCGAAGGTCGCCGGGTCGAACCCCGGCCGCGGCGTGTGAATTTCGATGCAAGTGAAAATGCTCGAGGCCCGTATACCCTTAGATTTAGGGTGCACGTTAAAGGAACCCCTCAAATGGCCTAAATTTCCGGAGCCTTACTTTACGCGTCATTCATAATCATATCGTGGTTACGAGACGTGAAACCCTAACAATTATTACTATTTTGCTGTCAATCGGTGAATACAAAGAGGCAAGTACAAGGTTCTCTCTCACACTACAGCATCACCCCTCCCCTCCCTCGTAGTGATCAGTTTCAAGAGAGAGCAAGCTTCGCAGCGGACTCAAAAATTAAATTAAAACGACGACGTGTTTAACACGACTCTACCTGTATATGGTACCCAGGTTTCCGGGGATAAGGGTCGGATGCAAAAGATTATCTAAAGGTCGTAAGCCTGCGCTGTCTGGCAGGCTCAAATGCGCAGAGATGTGAGGCAGGCCTGGCACCCCTTTTAGATGACTACGGGGAAGGTGGGGGGGGGGGGGGCAGCCGTTCCCCTACCCACTTCCCCCACAACTTCCTCTATACGCACGACTGCAGCCATACCTGTTTCTAGTATGTATTGATAAGCCCCGCCGCGGTGGTCTAGTGGCTAAGGTACTCGGCTGCTGACCAGCAGGGCGCGGGTTCGAATCCCGGCTGCGGCGGCTGCATTTCCGATGGAGGCGGAAATGTTGTAGGCCCGTGTGCTCAGATTTGGGTGCACGTTAAAGAACCCCAGGTGGTCGAAATTTCCGGAGTCCTCCACTACGGCGTCTCTCATAATCATATGGTGGTTTTGGGACGTTAAACCCCACCTATCAATCAGTATCTATAGATAAATTCGTACGTTTCGGCCACCGGAAAATGTTTTTGGAGCGCGCACGTTTGCGGGTATCAGGTACAGGAAACGCGAGTTTTGGGGTGCGCTACCCCAACTTCGGGAACACAAGTTTCTTGGGTGCTGATTGTGGTTATCTTGGGTGCGGATAACCAAGTTACGGTTGCGCGTAAGCCCGTTCTCAAGTGCGTCGCAATCCTAAGCGAGACAGATGCGCGCAGTGGGGACACACTTACCATGGCTAGGCATTCGTTGACGTGCTCGGCGAGAAGTTCGGGAGGACCTCGGAGGGCGATTTGGCACACGGGACAATAAACCTGGGTGCCTTGGCGCCTCTGGCCGCGGTTGGAGCGCACTCGCTCGAAGGACTGCCTCGCGATCGGCATCGAACCGGAAGGAGGAAAAATAATACAACACAAACCACTTGAGACCTGCAGGCTGTTATCAGGCATTTCCGTGCTTTTCTCGTTTTTTTTTTCGTACTTGCTGCCGATAACTGCTTCATGGTTTCCAATTTACCCATGCTTGGGAGTACTTGACACGACGCAGTAAAAAATAAATCAAACACAGAAAAGGCTACAAGGCTCGCCTGCAATGGTCATGGCAATGAAGATGTGCAGATCAATTAAGGTGACACGTTGTCAGCCGTATATAGAAACGGAATGTGTGCAGAAGTAACAAAAGCACATTCAGGATTACGGCGAAAATTCGAAAGGCGGGAGTGACGACATTAGAGACCTTCATGGCCGAATATAACGCTGCCATCGAATTCGCGGAATAAAGGCTGCAATAAAGGTTGATGTTCTACAAAAAAAAAAACAAAAAAACACGGGAGCAGTCAGTATTCGCTAGCATGCAGATACATAGAGAGAGCGAAATATCGGAAGACGCGCTCAGAGCAGGCGGGAAAACACAGTGCTGCATTCAAAGGAAGAGTTCGGACACGCCGTGTTTCAAACACACACGCGGTGATGCATACCCGCCGACGAGGGTTCATCCAGCTGAAGCGGCCTGCTGACGTCGATTCAGACCGGTACCTTCTCGCCACGTTCCTGCAGAAACGAGAAAAAAACACCGCCACGTTCCTCGTGTTTGAATTTACCGCCTTGGTTGGATGTACGCGTCACGAACTAATCGTCTATGACAAGATCATAATTCGTGCGCACATGCAGGGAAAGAGGGGTCACCCTCCTCTATCACGTGATCACGCCGCCATGATGCCACGAAAACCACCATAATGAAGTACACGTATTAAAGTACCCGTATGTACTGGTACATGGCGGTTTTGATGACGGCAGCCTAATTAGAGAGCGGTTAACTCGCCTAAACGCGATAACGACACCGCTGAAACGTTTTTCCCATCCCTGCGTGAACAACAGTAGGACTTGCGTTCGATGTACTGTGCGATCTCTCGTGGTTCTATATCCGTTTCAGCGACAGGGCTATAGAAGCCAACGCGAAATGTCCGTATTTGGTCGGTGCAGACCAGCATAAGTGGTATACCTGGCGATTCCTTGCAGCCTGTCCACCTCCACCTGCCAGTGCTGCTGCAGCTCTTGCTGCCGGAGCGTCACGCCGCACACCGGACAGCCGAAGGTGGTCGTGGGGAGGCTGCGACGCTTGGGCCCTGCGCATTTGTGGACAAGCCACCGCAGAAAAAAAAAAAAAGTTGTAGATCACCCTAATGCTTCACTTCGGTGTCTGGTAGTGGCATTAACATCTACAAATTCGTCTGCTCCGGTGTATTCTTAGTGTTAACTTAAAGGGACCCTGCAACAATTTTTGAGCATGATTTAGAAAACACTGCCTACCCGTCTAGGCTGCCGAGAACACTCGAAGCCAAATATAGCGCAGCACGCGGCCTGATATTTACAACAAAAATCCTCAAAGTCGGCTCTACAAATCACACTATCTATTTCTCTCATCTCGACAAATGACGCCACAGGTGCGAAATCCCTACGTCACACGCCAAGTATCAGCCATTGGCTGATTTGAGCATGGTGCGCTCGCGTCGTTACTTGGGCCGCCGTGAGGGGCCGCGACTGGTCCGCGCGTGCGAACTAAAAAGCCGCACATTCGAACTAAGAGAGAGAAAAAAAAGGTGCTGAAGGTCACGAGGCGCGCGTGACGTATTTTCTTTCACCGTGCGGTCACTTTCTGCTTAGCTCCCAGCGCTTTCGTCGGAACGAGACAAGAAAGAATGCAATCGCAGCGTGCGACAAATCTTTGTAACTCCGCTCGTACTGGACATATTCTGAAAATTCTAACGGCGGCAAATTCGTGGGGCAATAAGCTCCTTTAGCGAATCCATTTTATGGCTACTTGGTAGGGTGTCGATGGACCCCTTAAAGCGTTTCGTAGCGCTGCCGAAGCGGATCTCAAAGGCTACGTAGAAAGAGGGACGAGAACGAGATCTGCTCCGCCAGATGTGCTCCAACGATTCCGGGCGTTCACAAGAGGACCATCTGCTCTTTCAATGAGTTAACTCAGCTAATTGCGATCAATTACCCTGACAGTTATTCGACTTTTAACTTCAGTAAACTTGCGCTACAATGACATGTGTATTAAATGTAACTTTTACCTTGAACAAAAGCTACCGATTTCCTAGACGCGTTTTAATTCTGAATATCAGGAAAACGGCAAGGAAATGCCCGATCGAAAGTTCTTGGCATAGAAACAAGGGCGCGACTCGGCGCTTGTGTCGATAAAAAAACAACGAAAAAACATCACCTGTACGTCACTGCCGCGTGATTGTATAGATGAAGAGTACACGCGCCCACGTGGCCGACGTCAATGTTACAACCTTTTCACAAACGCCTCCATGGGCGCCGCCATAGCCCTCCTTGGGCTGTGCAAATCGGCGCGTCCCCTCGAAAATGCACTGGCAGCGCTGCGTCCTTAGCCTTTGTACTCCCGCGCACAGCTCATCATGGCGGTGTTTTTTTCCTCCTGTGAAAAGGTGTATGGGCTTTCCACTTTTGCTTGGTGCGGTTGCGGTCAAAACGAGAAACCGATAACCTCGGATCCCGCACATGATGATGGTGACGAAATTGATACCCGTCATCCGATTAAAATTTCGTGGTCTGACGCGCCAAAACCACGATGCGATTACGAGGCACGACGAAACCGGGGAGACTGACCACTTATTTTAACGAGGTGGGGGCTCACTCCCGTGCACGTTATACTAAGGTCCACGACGTGTTACCGTACAAACGCCGCACGCTGCCCACTGCGCGTACACACTACGCCCTGCGGGCTGGAGTTCCCCCGTGGCACGTGCTTCAGCACCGGAAAAACGATCGTCTTAGTCTTGTCCATATGCCTGCATGCACATTCCATATGCCTGCATACACGTCCATTTTTCTAGACCACCCGCTTGCCCCGCCGCGGTGGTCTAGTGGCTAAGGTACTCGGCTGCGGACCCGCAGGTTACGGGATCGAATCCCGGCTGCGGCGGCTGCATTTCCGATGGAGGCGGGAATGTTGCAGGCCCTTGTGCTCAGATTTGGGTGCACGTTAAAGAACCCCAGGTGGTCGAAATTTCCGGAGCCCTCCACTACGGCATTTCTCGTAATCATATGGTGGTCTTGGGACGTTAAACCCCACATATCAATCAATCAATCGACCACCCACTTGCTGACAGTCCAATAAGGGTTAAACAGGCTAGACACGCTCTCCAGGCCGACGACCACTCCTCTCCTCTTTAATAAACACCGCCTTCTCGTCGTTCGAGCACCCCGGTGTCTTTACGGTTTAGCTGTATACGACGAAAGCTGCTCGCTTGTTCGTTTTAGCGAGGCGATGCGCTTATGCTGTGTGTTGCCTCGACGTAGGCGAATCGCCGAGACAAAATTTTTCAACGCCGAATATGTTCGAGGTCGACGTGATATGTGTGGAAGCGTGGCCGAAAACTGTCATCATCATAACCAACGGGTACGTGTCAGAGAATTAAGCGAGTCCCACTGCTCAGCCCATAAGGCGTGGCCTGTAATAACCCAGAGAACGAGCACTAAGAAAAAAAGAAAGCAAGATCGAGAAACAGAGAGATGGAACGAAAGACATAAAGAAAGAGAAGAGCTCTTGTAAAAATATTCTTCACGAAGCGGGCTTCGAACCCACGAACTTCGATCAGAAGGCGACCGTTCTAGCCACGCTGCTATCCAGGCCTTTCTTTCATTTTTATTGCTTCACACCAGAGCTGGACAGAGATACTTCGAGAAGTATTTCGGAGTACAGGTATCTAAATACATGGGTTGCTAGCCTAAAATAAAATACAGATAATGTCATACATTTGAGACAGACAGACAGACAGACAGACAGACAGACAGACAGACAGACAGACAGACAGACAGACAGACAGACAGACAGACAGACAGAAGACAGACAGACAGATAGATAGATAGATAGATAGATAGATAGATAGATAGATAGATAGATAGATAGATAGATAGATAGATAGATAGATAGATAGATAGATAGATAGATAGATAGATAGATAGATAGATAGATAGATAGATAGATAGATAGATAGATAGATAGATAGACAGACAGACAGAACAGACAGACAGACAGACAGACAGACAGACAGACAGACAGCAGACAGACAGACAGAACAGACAGACAGACAGACAGACACAGACAGACAGACAGATAGATAGATAGATAGATAGATAGATAGATAGATAGATAGATAGATAGATAGATAGATAGATAGATAGATAGATAGATAGATAGATAGATAGATAGATAGATAGATAGATAGATAATAGATAGATAGATAGATAGATAGATAGATAGATATAGATAGATAGATAGATAGATAGATAGATAGAAGATAGATAGATAGATAGATAGATAGATAGATAGATAGATAGATAGATAGATGATAGATAGAAGATAGATAGATAGATAGACAACAGACAGACAGACAGACAGACAGACAGACAGACAGACAGACGACAGACAGACAGACAGACGACAGACAGACAGACAGACAGAAGACAGACAGACAGATAGATAGATAATAGATAGATAGATAGATAGATAGATAGATAGATAGATAGATAGATAGATAGATAGATAGATAGATAGATAGATAGATAGATAGATAGATAGATAGATAATAGATAGATAGATAGATAGATAGATAGTAGATAGATAGATAGATAGATAGATAGATAGATAGATAGATAGATAGACAGACAGACAGACAGACAGACAGACAGACAGACAGACAGACAGACAGACAGACAGACAGACAGACAGACAGACAGACAGACAGATAGATAGATAGATAGATAGATAGATAGAAGATAGATAGATAGATAGATAGATAGATAGATAGATAGATAGATAGATAGAGATAGATAGATAGATAGATGATAGATAGATAGATAGATAATAGATAGATAGATAGATAGATAGATAGATAGATAGATAGATAGATAGAGATAGATAGATAGACAGACAGACAGACAGACAGACAGACAGACAGACAGACAGACAGACAGACAGACGACAGACAGACAGACAGACAGACAGACGACAGACAGACAGATAGATAGATAGATAGATAGATAGATAGATAGATAGATAGATAGATAGATAGATAGATAGATAGATAGATAGATAGATAGATAGAAGATAGATAGATAGATAGATAGATAGATAGATAGATAGATAGTAGATAGATAGATAGATAGATAGATGATAGATAGATAGATAGATAGATAGAAGATAGATAGATAGACAGACAGACAGACAGACAGACAGACAGACAGACAGACAGACAGACAGACAGACAGACAGACAGACAGACAGATAGATAGATAGATAGATAGATAGATAGATAGATAGATAGATAGATAGATAGATAGATAGATAAGATAGATAGATAGACGGACGGACGGACGAACGGACGTACGGATGGACCGACCGACGGAAGGACGGATTATGGATGGATGAATGGATGGATGGATGAAAAAGCTTTACTATGTCCTTCGCAACGCGCTTTCGCACGTTGCGGGCCGCTCCCACGTCACCCAATAGCTATTCGTTTCTCTTGGATATACACAGCTTTCGCTGTAAAAATTAACGAGATGTCTGTGTCCTGTCAAGTATCACGATACAATCGATACATCCTAAAGGTACTTTACCACTGCTATACTACCGATACACATTTCTCAAATATATCTCGATGCAGAATTAAAAGATACTCAAAAGTACCCCTGAAATACTATAGCGATACCCTTGTATCGCAATACTGGCCAGCCCTGCTTCACACATAAGAATGATCACACCAACATTTTTAAACCAGTGCCCAATACAATGATACACCATCAGCTGTTACCTGCCAAGTTAAAGCACTGACACGTGTAACAGCTATATAGTGCTCGCTAGTAGAGCACAGCATCGTCTTATATAGTATAGTATATCAAGGGGCCAGTTTGCATTAGGCCTGGCTGCGCCCAATCGTGTACACACGTCGTAAGAAAGTGGACACTTTTGAGGAGGAAGCCGCGCCTCTCGAACAGTCGGTCGACGGGGAGTGCAAGCGGCGTCGGGCACATGCTTCGCTATAGGTCAAGCTTTGCGCAACTCAGTGCAATTGATTGATTGATATGTGGG